GTGATTACTGATGAACGATTTGAAAACGAAAAAAACCAATATCAGTTTTCGCCAACCTCACTGGCTTTGCGAGAGACACCCCTAAAGAAAATCTCGGGGAATATGACTTTGGCTACGACCAAAATGCATACGGCAACCAGCGGATAGGTGTGCCACACAACTTATCAATTCCCGTTACTTCTTATGAACAGGGTTTTTTCGGACAGCCTACGGCTGCAACGCCACCAGTAATGCAGGTGATTCGGATGCTGTCGGATCATCTGCTCTCTACCCTGACCAACAGTCTCTATACCAATCACAATGTGGTGAATACCTCGCTCCTTTCGAGGTAAACAGTACCAAATCGTCGCCCTGTACAAAAGGTCATGACATCGCTAGCACGATGTACGCAAAGGACCCACAAGAAATGTACAGAAGTGCTGACTTTTTTCGAGATATATCAAGACACTTTTGTACTCTTACTCGCTCCCGTTTTGCCTGATTAACACTCGCTCTATACGCAACAAAATGAAAGGGATTATGCTGCTATCTCTGATAAGTGACCCGTCCGTGATAATGGTTACAGAAACACGGTGTACCTCTGATACTTGTGACGCAGAGATCTCCATTGACAACTATTCCTTGTTCAGGAGGGATAGACTGCATGGTAAAGGGGGGGGTGCATTATCTATGTAAAGTCCGACATCGCTGCCACGCAGTGACCTACATCTGAGCTAAACGAGATCAACGACTCAGTATGGATTATCGCCAAACTTACTCGCTCCACTTCCCTCCTAATAGGATGCATTTACCGGCCCCCTTCCTCCTCAGTCGAATACGACGACAAGCTGACAAGCGTGTTCGCTCGTGTGGCAACACTAACTCACACAACGAAAATTATGTGTGGTGACCTTAACATGCCAGATATAACGTGGCGACCAATCAGCTATCCAGAGCGCCTTGATAAATTCATAAGCATTCTTGAAACAGAGGGTTGGCAACAACATGTGGAACACCCTACCAGGTACAATAGTGTCCTGGACCTAGTCTTCACAAACGGAACCACACCCACAAAACTCCAAGTGGGTACACAACTTCCAGGTAGCGATCACAAGGTTGTATATGGATACTTCAATATAACCAGCACAAAATTAGCCCAAAAGTCAGGAACAGTACTAACTAGAAATTACAAGTATGCCAAATGGGACGAACTACAATCGTTTCTGCGCTGCCTAGATTGGAGCCCCTACTTTACCAACAGTTCAGCCAAAGAACTCTGTGATCTATTCTATGAATATATAGGCACAGCTCAAGACTATGTTGCTCCACCGCTCCGAAGAGAAATTAAGAAAAACAGAGCTGACTATATACCAAAGAAAGTACGCATCCGCATGCGAAACCATGTCAGAGAGTACTATAAGTCGAATGACTTTTCGTCGCTTGTCACACTCAAAGACACATACGACACATTCAAGGCAGAAAGAGTAATAGAAGCCGTTAAACAAGAACGCATCCAATGTAGTAAAACTAGTAATACAGAAGCACTAGTGAGACTGATGAAAACCCGGATAAGTAGCTCCAGAAATAGTACCCCTAGTTTAATCATGGACAACGGCATCCTCTACGACGACCCACTACAAATCAGCGAGCTGTTCGGTTACCAGTTTGCTAGCTGCTTTACACAAGAGGACGAAATAAAAGTCATTGGTGCACCGTCAACACCAACTCACTCCATAAGTACAGTGCTCTTCTCTAAACAAAACATTTCTCTAGCTATAGCATCACTTCGAACCTCATACAGTGCGGGGCCTGATGGAATTCCAACCATCTTGTTAAAAAGAGGTGGCGAAGATATACCGCTGATTCTCTTGAAGCTCTTTAATACGTCCCTCTCCAGTGGCAATTACCCTGAGAACTGGAAACTATCATACATATGTCCTAAGCATAAATGTGGACCAACATCTAATATAGAAAACTACCGACCTATAAACATCACGTCAGTAGTATCCAGGACTATGGAAAAGGTGATTGTGAAAGCAGTTGTCGACTATATGACGACTAACCAATTACTCTCACCAGCACAACATGGATTCTTGAAAGGCCGGTCATGCACTACAAGCTATCTTGACTATCTAGACAACGTTACAAGCAAGCGTGACCAAGGCCTATTTGTAACTACCCTTTTCTTAGACTTCAAGCAAGCATTCGATAAGGTGCCTCACAAACGCCTGGTCACTAAGTTGCAATCATATGGTTTCCGAGACCCGTTACTGTCCTGGCTCAGAACATCTTTAGAGGGTCGCTTCCAAGTAGTAAAATTCAGTAATTGCTACTCCACCCCTAGACTTATACAAAGTGGTGTCGTCCAGGGTAGTGTGCTAGGACCGATACTTTTCCTAATCTATGTAAACGATATCTGCAGTGTTATCCGAAATGGCATACCCTACCTTTTCGCTGACGACTTGAAGATAGTCTACAGCTTTTCTCCTGCAGCACTAACACAGGGTTTCTCTCAAATACAAGAAGATCTGAAGAGGATATTCATATGGAGCGAGACCTGGCAGCTCCCTCTAAACCCAAATAAAAGTGGCATCCTCCATTTCAATAAATCCCACCCAGAAGTAACGCTACACTTGGGTGATATTGCACTGCAGGTATACAACACTGTGAAAGACCTCGGAATCACTTACTCCAGAAGTTTGACTTTTACGGAGTATGCAGACTCAGTAGTTTCCAAGGGCAGAAGACTCATCGGTCTTCTACACAGAAACATACTCATACCTGAGGCAAAACTTATACTGTACAAGGCTATGGTTCGCCCAATATTAGAGTACTGCACCGTTATCTATGGTAGCATGAATGTGTCGGACAGAATTCGAGTAGAGAACATTCAACGGAACTTTACTCGGCGCCTACTAATACATAACGAAGGACTTCCTTACGAAGCAAGATGCAAAAAACTAGGACTAGAATCACTCTGGCTGAGACGCCTGAAGCTCAACTTAACACTTCTTTTTCGTCTTTTATTTACAAACCCTAAAACGAAATGTGCTGTCACTTTTAAAACAACACAGGCATATAATCTGCGTAATAGCGAGAACATCATCCCAATAAATAAGTATCGCTCAAAACTTCGATGTAGGTTTTTCATAACGCAATACAGTATGCTGTGGAACAAACTTCCCGCTCCTATACGAGCATGCCGTTCGCTCGGCCAGTTTCAACGACTACTTAGTAAATTCCTCCTATCTAACGAATCTCATCAATTCGTTGACGGCCAAACCACAAACGGTAATGCCATGCACTAAGGTACTACTGGTACCTAGACTCAAGGGAGACTAACAGCAATGACATAAGTATACAATGCCGAAAACTAAACGCAATAGTTAAGTTAAAATCTAATTTCTTAGAAAAAAAATGACCAAGAGTGGACAGGAAGCGGAGTGCGACACGATATGCTACAGTGAACTTATTAGATACTCAAATGTAACCTACTTTTCTTCACAACCTAACCGATCTCACGACTTAACACCTATTTCCTAAAAATCGCCCCTTAAAGTAATCTCTCTACTCCGAAAAGATAAAAGAACTGTCTGTCGGTGCATTTTCATAGCATGCAACTCTTTATTACTTGCCCTTTGTCATCAGTACTTACATGTAAGTACTCTGCACCACCATATTGCTTCGGCAGCCACGATATGGTAATACTCAACAGGCAACACCATGATCACCTACCGCTCCATTACCAGGTAAAGGGTGGTAATCGTCTTAGAAAAAACCATGAATTTCACTTAAATGTTTATAACTTCGTCAAACGTTTTTACATAGGTATATAACAAGTGAATACCTGGTCCAAAATCCTCTAATCTCTCTATTTCGTAGTGATATCTTCAGCTTCAGACCAATTTTCATTACCATCGTGCGCACCTTCACCTTTTCCCACCTAAGCTTACCTCTAAGCAGTAGGTTCTGAAGTAAGTTTTACAGTCAGTTTAAAGAACTCACCCAGATGTATCATGGTTGATCTACTCCTGCGTATTTTTGTGCTCCTGTTACAAATTTCGCCTGCTGCTCGCTTTTGTTATTCACTTTTCAGACTTACTCAACCAGTCCTACATTCAAATGGGATCCTACAAATCGCATTTGTCTGTGGGAACCTTGCCATCAAAACCTGATGACGAACGCGTACACCTGAAGGTCATGACTATGATGCGGTACCACCCTCAAGAATATTTGAAGATTCAAACAATAACCGAATAATCCCTAAGTTCAAACTGAGCCTGCTTCAACACACCGCTTATATGCCATGAATAACGGTATCTAGTGTATAGCTTAACATTGTACATAATAACCATTTCTCATCACCAAAATGATCAAACCTGTAAACTTGTTTGTATTCATTTAACCTTTGTTGTATGAAATATATATTATTATTATTATTATTATTAAGTGAAAGCATTCAAACCATGTGAAATTTCACAGTATATCGGTCCTGTTTCCAAAAGGGGCTCGATGAATAACTTGTTTCGCGTTTACTATTTTAAGGATGACTTTTGAAATTTTTCGAGTCTAAGAAGATAACGATCAGTGACGATGCCGTTCACAGAATTCGCACATATGAGTTGCAAGCTGTCTAAGCGGAATTAAAGAACTAGAGATCAGACTCAATTACGTTCTTTTCCGAACTCTTTCCGACTGAGCAGGGTTACATTCAATGAGGGTAGTAAAACCTTCTTAATCTCATTTGAAAAGAACTCATTAAGAAGCTAGAAAATGTCCACATGAGGTTTTTATGCTAATTTCTCTAGAATAAAAGTGATTTTCCATTAATATTTTAAACTTCTTTATCCTAGTTTCAACCGAATGCATGGACGTCATTTCAGCAATGAAGGTTGGAATTTATCTGTAAAAACTTTCAAAGGTTTTGGACAGTTTGTTACAAGTATAAGGTAATGTGAATGATAGAAATGTTTCGTCACTCATTAAGGAATTGAATTTCGAAGTGGTAGTTCAGCGCTGTAGTCAGTTCATGTGCTATGGCGGGTTTTGAATCAGTCAAGAATTCTATTAGGCATAAGGTTTATACTTTGTCAAAGATATTTGGGTTTGTACCTAACATTTAAGGCTTACCGATGATAGTGTTGACGTAGCTTCTGATGCAAATATCTATACATATGCAGAAAAGCTTGAACAGAGCATTGGAATCCCATCTGATTCTCAGGTATCCGCTTTTTGACTACATATATTGCTACAGTTCAACATTCGTGACTCAGTTTCAAAAATTTGTGAAAGAAGCCCTAAGTCAGAGATATTTCTACGAAAGTATGAGGAATTAAAACTTAGAAAGTTGGTTTGCTCAAGAAAAAGTAACTGTAAATATTTAGTATCAAGGAACTGTCTGGGATTGTTTATTTGCTGTCGAAGTTGAAGTCAGAACCAGGTCTTTTGCGCACTTTAAAGCTTGTCGCTCATCAGAAAACGTCTCCACTGCATAATATACAGGCCAAATCCACAAATGCATCGATCAGTATAAAAGTAAGTTTGTCCATTTCTTGATTAACTGTTTTTCGCTCTAACTGTTACAAGTGGATTCATCGAGTTGTATTGTGTCCATCTGAGTTTCATTTAGTCTTTAATTACAGTTAAAACTGAGTAGCTGTTTGCATACTGGTAGTAACATAATGTTGTTTAGTGGTCTGCTCAGAACAGTGTACTCAGAGTTTCCTATTCTTGGTAAAATTGTCTTTATTAGATTTGACCAGAACTCAGCTAAAGGGAGCCTTTTTGTCGAATGTTTCTGTGTATTACATTTTTGGGAAATATAATTTACGTCTATGTATGTATACAAATGAATGGGGGGTGATTGTTCACAAATACCCCTCGATGAAAGTGAGGTTTTCCTTAAATTATCTTATTTCCATGTTAGCAACTATTTATTTTCACTAGTGACAGTCCTTAAAGTTCACTACGTACAGTTTAGTAGATGCTTGCTACATGGCACATAGTCGTCTTTATCGTGTTATCTGCTACTTCAAAAAAAAATTACCATTTTTCAGGACGTTGACAAACTCCGACAGATGATTGCTGATTCTAGTTCGCTAGTGACAAACTCAATGCAGTTAGACAACAAAGATGGCCTGAAAACTGCGATTGGATCCACGGATGAACTGTCTTTGTCTTCAACACCTGGTCCAAGCACACCTCAAAGCTTGTTTATTCCATCTTCCAGAAATATGACTAAAAAGCTGGTTTGCACCAGTCGAACTCAGAAGTCCGCTGAATCTTTTATGCAACCAGAGTGGTTATACTCCCGTCCAACTCTTTGGAAGGATTTCTTACCAACTTCACTCAATTCAGATGTAAGTCTTGTTGAATGATCTTGGAGTTTGCCAGTACCCACACTTAATTTTTGTTTTGTATGTAGAACTATCAGTTTAGTGGTTTTATCTAGCTTTGTAGGTTTTGTACTATTGATACTTTTTGGATCAAGTAGGTCATCAGTGAGGTTGAGTGGTAATTTTCACCGTTATAAATTTAAGACTTGGGCTCTCCTGGGTAACCTACAGTAAATGTATAGACATCAAGTTTTTAATAAGTGCTTTTATAACTGTGCTTCATAAACATACAGCTAGTAATATTTTCCACTTCAAGACAGCAACTTAAGAGGGGTTAGTTAATAGGTAATCCAAACATTTTGATATGTTCTGAGCACAGGTAATTTTTAGTACAGCGGCTATATTTTTGCAGAATTAAAATTTCACGGGATACTGGGTACTCAGTTATACAGTTTTGTTTGTGCGTGAGTAATTTGAATTCTACATAATTAAAAACAAGTTGAAATCTCAGTTTTACACCTTTACAGACATTCCAGATTCGCTCCTCACAAAAGCTTCCATAAAATCGACTGTGTACCTCACTTTCCTGTCTTAGTCTTTGAACTGGTTACCGAATCTTTATTTAAGTAGTTCACAATCGTAGGTGCTGCAAAGAGAAAAGCTAAACACTGGTTTTATCTTTTTTAGGAGCCAGTAAGTATATGTTTAAGATAGCATGAATCAAAGCAGACTTATTGTAATACCCTCTCTCTAACAGAAAGTGATAACAGTGTTGTTATATCTAGCATCTTATGCCACGTCGATGCTCTATGTGACGACTTCAGTCAGTTCTCCATTTTGCTATTTTCTACTACCCAATTAAAGATTTCGATGGGGGAAATGTTGTCCATCGGTCTTTCTTTAATGAGTACAAAAACGACAACAATCCTATGTAACGAAGTGCTACTAGGCTGTTTCTATCTTACCACATAAATGTAGTATTTGTGTGGTTTTCCATCAGACTTTATATGACAACTAAATGGTGTTTGCAAGTCCCAAATTCCGAGCTGTGAGGAATGATGTAGATTTATTCCACATAGTTGTGTAACACTATCACTAGTAATGGTGAACATATTAGGACTGTATTGATAAGGTTACCCTAACCGTATTCAAAAACCTTAATTCTTTGTATGTTGAAACTGGACTTATGCTTTATCAGGTCACATAATTCATTTTTTTTGTTTCTGGAAGTCTTTTCAGCAAATTCCTATTGAATCACTTTCAAATGCTGTTCAAGAATATGCCGTTGTTAACGATCTACTCCAGTGTCTACAAGTAAGTCACATTATGTTAAGGTGTAAATGTCATTTGTCTGTAAGATTGCACTCCTCTTCCAGTTACATTCACACAACTTTTCAGATTACTAACATGTGCAGATTTCTTTGTTGTATTGTTTTGGAAATTTCAGGGCAACCAAGGAGTATATATTAAACCTCTTCCTTTACCAAATCGTTATGCTGTCCGAACTTTCAAGGTGGACGAGAAAATGAGTATGTTCAGTTTAAAGTGATCTTATTAATGCTGTGGGGTTTTAGTGAAACCTTTGGACTGATATGTTCTAAGGCTATTACAATTAGCTCACAACCATTTACCTAATGCCATATTAGTCCAACAGTTGGTTGGACCATATTTTATGCCCAGCAGGATAATAATACAACGCTTTTCGATATTAGGTAGATGAAGGCATTCGGCAAGAACTGGACCTAGGTTTCATGCTTGTTGGCACTCGTTAGCGAGGCGTATCTACAACCTCGGTATAGTTCGATCAGCACTCAGGACTGGACAATGCGAATTTGTTTACCCTCCAGTGACCAATCAGTTTATCTAATCCAGTCGTAGACGAGGTCAATTGCGGTCCGAATATCTAAGTGTTAACGTCTCTTACTGCAGAACTGGGTAACGCGAGTTCGAATCTCAAGCGCGACATCAGTGCCGTCAAGGTAGCAGATACGCCTTGCTCACGAGTGCCGACGAACACGAGATCTAAGTCCAGGGCTTCCTGCCGATTGTCTGTATGCAGGGTACGTAGTACTTTTATTTGACAGCTTCTACAGACTAAGATGTAATGGAGTTATTGTGAGTTGTCCAGTAAATAATAAAACCACAATGTCTTTTTTTCCTCTTACGGTCTCAAGAACAACTATCTTGCGGAGTCTTAAGTGTGAAGAACTCTTCGTTTTTTTATGCCACTTCGGAGTCTGCCTAGGAAGTAACATTATTCAGCCGTCGAAGTTAAACATGTTACCGTTGTATTGAAGCGTCGTAAATGTTATATTGTGGGTGGAACAAACTTGTTAAACAGAAAACAATTTAACATTGATAAGAAGTTTAAGTATGTACAGTCAGTTTAAAATAAACATCCCAGTGGTTAATTAGACTTCATATTCTTACCTAATAGGCGAGGCATGCAAGTCGATAATCACATGATTTTCCCAAACTTTTCAATGGCATATTACTCATGAGTAGTGTTTTATTTTACCTACTTGATGTCTGTCGAACTTCTTGACTAAAATCTAATTATCAACCAACACTCACAAGTCTTATGCAAAAGTCCTATTTTACAAAAATAATGAGCTACATAGACTTAACAAGCTCGACCGAAAAACAACTTATAATGTTAAAAGTTACTTAAGTACTTTTTGGTTTGGCTTATTGATTAGATACTTCACAATAATGAATAGCGTAGTTCGAAAAAATTTAACCACACAGGTTGATATGATTGACGACTTAATGGCTTTCATCCTTTATATGTACATATGCATATATGTTTTGTAGTGTGATTAATTTCTCGAATTCTTTATTACAAAGCAATCTAGAGTTTTCCTCACTAATGTAGCAAATAAATATTTCTTATCCATAAATTGCACTGTCTAATGAAGGGAGTAGTTATATGCAACATTAAAGTAGCGCATATGCTTGAAGAATATAGAGAAATAAAGTGGTAAAGTGAATTAAGATCAGTGAAACAAGTTGTCTTTAGTACTGCAGAGCAGAAATCACGAATAAACAGATGGAGAATATCACCAATGGGGGAAAAACAAGTGTGCAGTAGTAAAATATTCAGGGTTCTGAGAAAGGCAAAGTGTAAATGCACCCGCGACACTGACGTATAGTGAGTCATCCCATCCAGGATCTCCAAGGATTGCTTCCCGATAACTTGAGATAAATAAGACACAACTCCACGGTTCAGACCAAATGTCAGCAACGATTTAGGTTAGGGTCATCTTAACTGGTCACCCTTTGCTTTCTCACAACGCGTTTCTGCTCCAAACATAATTTCATATATAGACAGTTAGTACTTTTGAGTGCGTGACACATCGTAGACATTCTAGTCAGTCGAAATTCACAAACTCACCAGCTGTTTGACGTTGCTTGTTTCAAACTTGATACTTAATCTTGCTCGGTAGCTGTTTTTTAAAACGAGAAAAGGATATTCTGGAAATAATTTTGACCAAATGTCAGTAACCTCTTGTTTAGTTTGAATAACTATGTCTAACGCCTGTAGAGTAGCTTCAGGTTATCTACTGTACAGCAAACTTGATATCTTTTAAGGACCAAACGTGGCGCAATGCTAGAACAAAACTTTTGTAATCATGTTGAGATTTCGTCAGAAACAAGCCCATCAAGGCTTCTGTATTTCCCCAAAGTAGCTAGGTAATCAACATATCTAATCTTTCCAGTCCATTGTCCGTAAATTATTTGGTGAGGAAGTCTACATACGATGCTACACTTGCATCAAAATGTCACTACAATGCTCTAGTAATTATGTAACTAGTTCACCCTTGAATGCCGGTTTAGTCTCTTTGTTCAAGTGGAACACAAAGAAACTTCTGAGCTGCATATATTCGGGGATCATTCAAACTCAAACACGTATACTGGAACTAGTAAATTATTGGATTTCGACCAAGTGTTCCAGAAAGTGAAGCAATCTTCCATAAATCAGCTTTAACAACGTGACTAAAAGTAAGATCTGCTCAACAGTTTTAATGTCGTCTGTCCTGAAGTTGGACAGAATCTCTTCCTACATTTGGATTTGGCATGGACTATGGAAAAGGTGTTAGAACTAAAATGTGGGGAGCAACTGTTCATTTTAACTTATCTTCAGTAGCATACAATGGTTTTCGTAAGTTGATGTGGCCCCTTTTGTGGTAATTGTAGGCCTTCTGGTTGGAGCCGGCTGAATTGCCGAAATCTGCTTGATACTTGAAGTGTCAGATCTCAAAATTGGTCGGATAGTTATTGATTAGGTCACTTTGTGGGAATTCATAAACGGAATGACACCTCCAAAAAGCATGTATAAAAGTTAGGCAAAGGTGAAAATAAGTATCTTTCACGAGTGTTGATCACAATGAACTCTGCCAGCAGATTAATGGAATACGTGGTACATTGAGTACAAAGGTTGATGTCCAGTCGTTACTCAGAAGGGGAAATGACTGTACCGCTAGCAACCGAATGTTAAGTGTGAAATGAGTGCAAGACAGGAAAGAGTACTAGGAAGTACAAAACAATAGGGCTATAACACCATAAAAAATGAAGAATGGAAGCAACCTAGCCACTGCATACCTGAGAGAAAGTAACCCCGTAGTTGTTTTACAGGATGAGACTGTATGCCATTCTGGTTGTAAAAAGCCCAAATAAGTGTTTGGTTCTCCTGGAAACTAATGTATATTTATCCGTTTAAATGACGGGTATATAATTATGTGAATAATGTGGAGCTGTGACTGATTAGCGTAGGCATTTAGCTACCAACCACTGGGTCACGGGTTTAAACTTCGCTCCACTTACCGAGTTCTTGGAAGTTAGGTAGTATCATTAGCCCTCACAAGCACTTCCGTGCCTGTGGTCGCTGAGGGAATTTCGATTTCCGTTACAACTGCATTCGTTTTTTTCGATGTCATATAACTTTTCTAAACTGACTATGATAATATTGTATACCTCAGCCAGAAACCGTAAGGTTAGGTAGTCGGTTTAAAACGATTGTCAATGACTATAAGATAATTGACATTTCTTAGTCGTACCACCTTAAGGCATCTTAGATTCTAAGAATACTTCACTCAGCATGGCGATTCATTAGGTGGGTTTGGTTTGTTATGATCATATTTTTAATTTGTTTTGACTATAAATGGATTTGCGTTTTTGTTTCCCGTAAACTTGTTTATTTTTCACTTTAGGTAGACAGTTATTGTTTTCTTTTACTTTCAGCTCCCACTTTATTGGATACTGTAAATAAAATTCTCCCAATTTGTTCAGACTATTCAACTGTGACCAGATTTATAGATGGTGAGTTTATGGACTTGTTATCCATTCTGATAGTAGGATAACCATCAGTATCCAGAAAATTTACAGTAGAATGCTTTGCAAATGACACTAATTTTTGATTAATTAACAGTATTTAGCATGAAAAAACTGGAAAAACCCTGAAGTATTGTTTAATACTCGCTAATATGTATAGCAACGTTGGATTTCATACTGATAAAATATTGTTACAGGTCCATAAACATTGTATTTAGGGTACTATAGTTTATCATGTGAGATAACCTTATGTATGTTTCTCCCTATGTACTTTGAGTAAATTTGAATACAAATCGTATTTTTGTTAAAGAGAAGTCCGCATACGAATACGGAATGGTTAATCAAGGATTGGCAGGTGCAATGGATGATCTTCTTAAAGATTATCTGATTTTGATATGCGAACTGGAGTATTTATATAAAGTGGGTGAACTGGGAATAGTGAAACTCCATTTCCTCTTACAAGTAAGTAATTATATTGGGATTGTCTAAGTACCTTGTTCAGCTTTTTAAAATAAATCCATGTTTGATTTTGCTCCAATGTCTATTGCCAACCACCCAAAACTTAAGCTTTCATCGAAATAAAAGTATGACGAATTAGACCAGTTTACTTTACGTTTACGCACTTAAAAGCCTGCAGAAAACCTAAGAGAATCGATAATCAATCAACAAAAAGATACGGGGCGGGCAGTTGTGTTTCATTTAACATTTTAGATAGACCGAAGTCATTTTCTTGACCCAATGTATAGTAAATACGAAAATCAGAAAATGTATCCATTACGATACCTTCGGCACCAGCTTTTTAACTAGATGTTCATTTTGCGTCCCACTCATTTCGTAAAGTGATCATCAAACCAACTTTATTTACTTTATGCATACACTTGGCAACCGATAAAAATCTTTTTCGGAAGTGCTGCTGGCAGTTTAAAACTAGGCACCATTGTGCTAAGTTCCAGTGGTTTTCTTATTGGCATATATTTGTCTTAGGTCAAATTCCATCTCAATATGGTGTTCTGTGTTTGATTTACTTCCTACATCCTGAATTGACAGAATAACACTCGATTGAGGATTTTTTCCAACTAATGGACTATGAATTAGAAACTATCGTACTACACCGACAACACTATCCTTGCATTACTGAAAGACAGAAAAGAAGATAGGGCAGCCAAGATTTATTCCTCCAGAGGGAGGCAAAAATTAACTGAAGATAGCTGTTTATATAGTTCTTTTACTGAACCAATGACTACCAAGCTTAATACAGAAAAGTTGTCTCAGACACTGGCTAATAATGGACTAATGAAATGCCAATAATGCTACGTTTGACCAAGGTTAAGGACAAATATTTAGTCCACATCTTACATGGGGAACATTGACCAGTCATATGTCTTTCTGTTCGTCCTAACATCTCACAGATATCAAGCAACATAAGTCATCATGTCGTTCTTTTAATTAGTTTTTACTAGGTGCTTTTGTGTCTAGGACGAAGTTATAGCAAGGTGCTAGTGTCATCAGTAACTCCTCCAAAGACTAGTTTGTGTTCGGTTATTGGCTCAGTAGCTTAAACAATCGACTTCCAAACATTGTCTTGGGTTTCAACTTTACTTCACTTACTTCGATCTGGATAGCCAGGTAGTATCATATGCCGTCACAGCAAGTGTGGCTCATAGCCTAGAGTATATACTTTTTATGGGGTTGAGTTGAATTATTCCACTACCGGATATTTTAGGCATACAACATTAGTAATCTCTTTATGTTTAGTCATTTGTTACCTGTTTACTGATAAGCCTGCAAGCAGAATATTCACTTTAGCCTCTTTATTTTTTAGTTCCAAATAATTTCACGTTTAAAGTTTACTTTAATCAAATCTGGAACGCTCACACATTCAGTATGTTGTGCTACATGTGCTATACCGAATCTCACCATTTTGTCACTCCTCTTTTCTTTCTTCTCGTACTTTATATTTCTTTTGACTGCATTCTCTTATCTTCATCCTTCACCTCACTACCTTTCTACTTGATGTACTGATACGACCTGTGGCAACTCGGACCGTTACGCAGTTATGCCTGGTCCTATGTTGATATTGATTGGTTGATTGACATGTGTTGAAAGATAACGGAGTAACCCACATGAATATATCATTCACCTAAACTATATGTGCAACTGTATAATTTCAAAAAAATAGCTACTTGGAGGGGGTATGTAGGGAGGAATATAGAAACTTCAACTGGTATTTCTTCAGCTATCGTCGACTCTATACTTCATGAAAGTTGTTTGTTAAAGGAGTGTATTACACAATATTGCATTTTGTTGTACTATACGACAGTAATACACGCTCACCAGTAGTATATAACTTCTGAGATCTATAATTGTGTTCACTGATGAGTTCAAAGTTCATTGTACTTGTAATGGAACCTTTTAGCTCAGCATTTACTTCAATGTTTTTCATATACAGTTTGAATTGATAAATGTACTGAACTTACAAAGTTATCCAAGTTGTTTCTGTTATGCAATGAACTGAAATTGAGGATAATACACAGGAAGGAGGTAGTCATATGAATTGAATACAACATTCTGTTAGCTTCTATTTATAACTGTCTATTAAGCTATATTTGTTTTCTTTGTATCAAGGAAGCAGCCATTACCTTTAATCAGTTGGCCCGTGTTGCCACAGATGTTAATACGGGACAGTGTTGTGGTGGCGCAGTATTATCAGTTTTGTATGATTCTATGCGATCAGTGTATGGTGTGAAAAAGTTGCATGCCATGATGCTTTATCTCTTGCATTTCGTAAGTTTGAGAGTTATACATTTCTATGCAACTTGTTCGTGATACATATATTCTAAAAAGTTAGTCCTACCTTTGTTAGCCAGTCAACATCAATATATTTTATTGTTTTACTGACTTGGTACCCAGAAAAGCACTTACTGTCTGTAAACCAAAAGTTGAGAATTACCTTCCAACCAGTAGTTCATTTGTAGATGCCAGAGTAATTTAAGGAATTCGTTTCATCTTAAGCCTTAGATAAAGTGCATTGGTCGAATAAAATATATCAAATTTTTGCATACGTTTTCTACTTTCATAGTCCCACATAATATTCTGATAACCTGTTTTTTTGGCACATAAAGAGTTTGAATTGTCGATTCAGCCTAGTTATACTCGATCGTTTAGAAATTCTTCATACAGATTTAGAAGTGTCGTAAGTTAACCATTCTTATAACATCGCAATGATGCCTAGTTCTGTTAAGTTTGTGCATACAGTCAGTTGATATATCTCATTCCGTTAAGTGTTTCAAACGTTACGCCTCCTGGTGTTAACTAGTCAATTTTCTGTCGTTCAAAATGACACTAATTGTATCATATAGTGTTTTGGATAACATTCAGTAAGATAAAAAACCATGATTAGTCGTCCACTGTTCTGTATTGAGTGTAAACATATTGAAAGCTCCTTTCTCAAACAAACAAAACAGTTTATATATATTGCAGCTACGCCGATCAGCTTTAGAGGTGTGTGACCTTAAAAACTGGTTAATAATCAATTTGTACTATAGTAACTTCTTGACACTATTTTGTTGAGCCGTTGTATGAAAACGAACACTTCGATGACGCTGACTAGTTTAAAATACTTAATTCTCTTACTTCAAACTATGCTTCCATTTTAGTCTGTTCCTTAGAAAACACCACACAGTGAAATAGTATCATTTGCTGGATACCATTTTAGACATTATTTATTGTCCATATTCATATCATGTAATTCCACAACTTTGAGACATAGTTTACATGGTTCAAATCCTCTCTTCTTTGTGATGAGGGTAGTAGAATATTGCATATGTCTGGGACAGGAGCAAAATTATTTCTACTACATGTATTTGGTGTTGATTCAATAGACAAAGATTTGCTTATACATCTCTCCCTCCACCCAATTAGCTTAGCCTTAAATAATGCCGCTCTATCCCACCCTATTCTGTGCTTGTGTGTAATTGCGTGCAGAGCTATCGCCAAACTTTTCTCTGAATTTCGTATCTTATAAGGACCTAATAACCTTGATTTAGATATGTTTTTGTGTTCTGTTATCCTGATTGATCCTAGTCAACTACTTTGACCTATGTATTTAACCTGGCAATCATCCCAAGGGACTTGGCAAACTAAATTATTCTGTCAAATTGGATCAATAGGTTATTTTAACCTACAAAGCTTGTTTCTCAGCGAGTTTGTTAGGTTAAATGCCACATTAATCTCAGCCTTTTGAGAATTCTTCGTAACGCTTATGAGGTTCCCTCTTTGTTTGGTAGCACAAGAAATTAGACACCTCAAGGATACTTTGCCTCTCAATAATTACCCACCTGATGTTATAAATAAATTCACAATAAATCGAGAGAAAAATACTAGAAGTATTGACATAGGCGTTATTAATAATAATTCTACTAATAATGGTAATAATGGTGACAGGGTTGAGCGACAAATCAAAACCTGCACTCTGCTACCATAAAAAGAAAGAACCTCATAAGCGTAACGAAGAATTCCTAAAAACGCTGAGATTAAAGTGACATTTAAGTTTTGTAAGCTAAAATATCCTATTGATCCAGTCTGGCAGAATAATTTAGTTTGCTAAGTCTTTTGCAATAACCTAATCGCAGTAGAATTTTCATTAGACCTAGAATATGCAGGTGATATAGTCCTGATAGGTGAAGACGCTGACAAAATACAGAGTCTTCTGAACACTTTGAGTGGCAATTTGAGAATATTTGGGGTGCGTTTCTCATCACCCAAATGCAAATTGTTGCTCCAGAATTGGTCTTCAACGTCGCCGCGGCTAACAATAGAGAGTGTAGTGGTTGAGTGTGTTGACCACTTCACTTACCTGGGAGGTAGGATCAGCCCTGGTGTCTCAGTGGCCGATGAAATCTCTGCACGGATACAAAAGGCTCGAGTGGCTTTTGCCAACCGTAATGTTGAAGCAGCTGGCTGCCACCAAATTACTTCTCGGTCGACGCTGTCGAACGCCTTTTCAAAGTTGAGGTAGAGATCCAGTTGACTGGCATTCTATGCTCTGTCCTATAATGATGTGTTGCGTGGCGTAGCAATTCGATCCGCACATGATTTGTCTTTCCTGAAGTCAGCCAGCCAGCCAGCCGGCCGGCCAGTTCCGGTGGTAATTTTGAATCCAGAGCATTTTTTGGTCTCTCCAGGATGATGCGGCTTAATATTTTGCTTAGAGTGGACAGCAGCTTGATTCCACACCAATTCTTGCAAAGACATAGGTCTGCCTTCTTTGGGAGTTTGACAAGGTAGCTCTTCTTCCAGTCGCCAGGTATCTTTCCTTCCTTCCTTCCTTCCTTTCAAACCTTCTGCAGTGGTGGTTTCGTGTGAGCATGTCCACTGTTGTCTCTGTGTCTGTTTTCAGTGCTTCTGGTGGGATTCCATCTGGTCCTGCTGCTTTCCCGCATTTCAGTAGCTTTATGTTATTCAGAACTTCGACTTTCGTCGGAGGGCTTGTGTTCACTGTTAATCCTGTGGGTGGGCTGCTGGTGGTATTTCTGGACGAGTTGTAGGTGGTGGTGGTGGTGGTGGTGGTAGTGGTCGATTGAAGAGCGTTTTGAAGTGGTCAGCCCATCGTTTCCTTTGTTTCTCCTCTTTGGTGATAATAACCAGGTTTCCTTCACTATCTGTCATTGGTTCCATCTGTGATGTGTTGATCTCTTCGCAGACAGCAAGTGACCTGGTTACTTGATACAATGTTGTTAGGTCTCTGTCTCTCCTACCTGCAGCCTGTTCTGCTTCACTTGACAATGTGTCGTAGAAGTGTCTTTTGTCTTTGCGTGCACTCTTCTTCACTTCTTTGTCCAGTGTTTTATGCATAGTACTCAGTTCCTCATTTCGTTGTTCATACCTGCAGCGTACTGCACTGGTTCATCTTCTGCTTCACCATCCTCCTCTCCCTGCTCTATCAGCTTCCATGTGTCCGTCGAGATCCATTCCTTGTCTTGTCTTGTCTTCTTTCTTCTTCCTTCCTAATACGGTTATGCAGGTTTCTTTCCACATCTCTGTCACAGAGTTCCAGTGTTCCAGTGTTCTTCCACTCAGGTCTCTTCAGGGATGTTGCTCAATGTCTCTCATTTTGTCCTGATGACTGACTGACTGACTGACGTGAAGATGTCCTTTGTAGTTTTGTCCTTCAGTTGAGTTCAGTTTCTGTTCTGGGTGTTCAACTTGAAGTGTGGCCGTCTATCAGCAACTTCTGTGAAGGCTTTCAACTTGATTCTGAAGGTAGGTTCCTTGCACTAGATAGTGAGTGGTGTGAACCTACATGTGCTCCCCTTCTTCATCTGATCTTGTGTCCGGTAGGCTGCGTCTCCACTTTCTTGAGGTTGGAATGAAGTCGATGTGAGTGTTACTGTGTCCATTTGGTGAAATCAAATCCACGTCGCTTTGTGGATATCCTTGTGCTTGAACACACTGTCTCCAATCACCAAGTCGTTGAATGCACAGAAGTCTGCAAACAGTTCTCCATTCTGGTTCATTTCACCGAGCGCTTCTCGACCCATGGTTAGTTCTCTTCCTGTGTTTTCAGCTCCCAGTTTGTCATTCATGTCGCGCATAAGAATTTTGATGTTGCCAACTGGAATGGAGTTTTGTCCATTGTTGATTGGAGTTGTCTGTAGAATTCCTCCATCTTCTCTTGAACTTCGTTATTTGTGGGTGCTTAGCGTAGCATTGTGTGATTGTGACTTTCGTTCCTTTTGAGTTGAATCTTGCTGTCATGATCCTGATGTTGCAGGAGGAGATTGGTTCCGACTGCATGGGAGAGAGAGAGAGAGCCTTCGATGCTCTTGAAGGGGACATCATGATAGCCACTCTATAGCTCAGTGTGCTCGTGGTTGTCATCTGGGTGAGAATATCGGAGTAGATTATTGACTCTCCAGTTGACAGTTTGGAGAGTCGACTTGCATTGGAGCTGTTTTCGCAGATTCCAAGCACTTCTATGCCATATCTTCTCATTTGTTTTGCAATCTGGACAGCCTTGCCAGCCAGCTTCAAACATTGTGTGGAGCTTCTATTTCTGCATGTTTACTGTTGCATTCATCGAGAGAAGAGAAGACACATCGGTTGGCTGTCTTGCCGAAGGGTTTCACCAACCGGCGTCATTTCGTCTCCGTGATTCGAGTGAGGAATAAGTTTATTTTATTTTCTATAATTAGTTTGTGCTTTGAAGTTTGTTTAGAGATTGAATTTGTTTTACGGTGTAGGTTTGCTAGTCCTATGCCTGAGGTTTCGTGTTTATCCGGGCTTAGTACCGGCTAGTAACTAGTGATGTAGTTAACCAGGCGAGGTCTGGGTGGGATAGAGCGGCATTATTTAAGGCTAAGCTAATTGGGTGGAGGGAGAGATGTATAAGCAAATCTTTGTCTATTGAATCAACACCAAATACATGTAGTAGAAATAATTTTGCTCCTGTCCCAGACATATGCAATATTCCACTACCCTCGTCACAAAGAAGAGAGGATTTGAACCATGTAAACTATGTCTCAAAGTTGTGGAATTACATGATATGAATATGGACAATAAATAATGTCTAAAATGGTATCCAGCAAATGATACTATTTCACTGTGTGGCGTTTTCTAGGGAACACACCAAATATTGAGTCTCAATGTACCCAGGTTTTACTAGTATATTAATACAAACCGTGCTGTCTTACCGAAAGTGTAAGCTAACTGGTTACAATAATATTTTGTTTCATTAATGTTGCTCATTATGGATATTTAACAGATTCGCCGTTTGTAGCTTCCATTCTGCAGCTTTCCCTGCCTTTAAAGCTCACGTTGTAAGATAGTATTGTTTTAACACTTTGGTTTGTGAAGGAAAGTGAATGTGCACTATAAAAGTAATTTTCTCTACAAATACGGTATTCTCATTATGACACAAATCAGTTTTGTTTCTTTGAACACGCATGTTCTGCGAAGCAGATAAGCTTGATTGAATAATGGAAAATTAAAAAATAACTTTAATAGTAATAGACCTTAACTAAAACGTAAGTTCTGCTGTGTCTCAGGTTGTTAGATCGTTAAAAGTGAGATTATCGGACTTCGAGATGGAACTCTGATTCTAGAAGCAGTGTTCCTATCTGCAGCCTGATATACCCTGAATCTGATGTACAGGGCTTAATGAATGCATAATACTGAAGACAACAAGAGTTTACCCTGAAGGTTTTTGTTTTCTAACCGCATTCAAACAACCATATGTTGCTTGTCAGTTGTTAGTGTTTTAATGTTCGTTAACAAATGTAACTGGTAGGAATTAGAGGCTTATAATTTCTTTCTTTCGCGATAGTTCTTTCTTAGGCATCATTTCACTGGATACCCTAATGGAAGGATGTTGTTAACTGACTTGAGTACTCAATTCTGAAGCAGTGGGTCCCGGTTCTAAGTTGTTTTCAACCTGAGCAACATGGTGATACCGTTAGGCATCAAAAAAAGGGTGTAGCTGAAAGCTTAGTACATAAAGCTGTACCAGGTCGAGTTTCATTGGTTAGTTAGGAAGATACTTATGGTAGTGCGATGCGTATTTTTACCTGATATTTCTGTATTGTAACCTCTTTTTGCTGACGGGTTTTATTGATTCACATTTCTTTCGTTATTTTTTATACACTAGGCTTGCATGCCTTTTTTCAAAATACTCCGAAAATGGATATATCGTGGAGTGATTTCAGATCCTTATAAGGAGGTCAGTTAATTGATCGTTTTTTTAAACCTGAATATACACTTTCAAATGTGTAATGTAGATGACTGCAATTTTGTTTTGACAACCACTTCTTCCTGGCCAGCCCTAGCTTCATACATAGTCAGAGACACCTTCTCACATGGCGTCCGCCGAATTAAAACCAACGATGGACACAGATCATATTGCTGTAAGCCATCATTGGGAAGGATCGATGGATTGCTGCTCTTTCTGAAGTACCTGTTTGGACTTCAGTCACGCGCTAGCATGAGCTCGTGTATGTCTACACCTTACTGGCCGCAGAAAATAAAATACAATGAGGCCTATCTCTGCTCGATTAGTAGATGAGGACGCCAAGTATGCACACCAACAGTCAAGGACTTCATGAACTGGTGCCACCTTTTTCAGGTCAAGAAATATGCGAATCAGTGGTAGTTCCATCAGGTTGGTCACTCCGGTTCGTAAGAAGGGAGTTAAGTGTTCTTATGTCAACTATAGGGGAATCAGTTTGACCGACATCGTGTCCAAGACTCTAGGGTTCATTCTTATGCGTCACCTCATTGGAGCTCTAGAGAATCAGGCAGGTTTCAAACTTTTACTTCGTTGCATCGATCAGCTTTTCCCCCTTCAATAGATTCTGGAACACAAACATGCCTGTAGGCGGCCGACAGTAGTCGTATTTCTTTGACTCTCTTAACTAAGAGGTGTTTTAGACTGTGAAGGGAATACTGAGCGATTATATAGCACTAGTCAAAGCTCTGTACTCGAACTCATGCAGCCGTATCATGGCTTATGCAGAGCTGTCATCTGAATTGATGACAACTAGTGGTGTCTGCCAGGGATGCCCACTGTCACCGTTCCTATTTAATTTCGTTATAGATGTAATGATGGACATCACTTTAGGTACCTCTGATTACATGGTGACTGATCCACTCCTTAGAGGATATTTCCTAGGCTTGAAGGGCACAAATGATATTGTCCTGTTAGGTGAAGTCACTGACAAAATGCAAGGTTTTGTGAACGCGTTGAGTGAAATCTGAGTATGTTTGGGGTGCGCTTCGCACTTTTCAAATGGAAGATGATGCTCCAGGACTGGTCTGCAATTACTCCCATTTTAAGAATTGTGGATGAAGTGGTGGAAAGTGTTGACCACTTCACTAACTTGGGGAGTTATGTCAGCCCAAGGGGAATGACTGCTGACTAAATCTCTGCTCGGATACAAAAGGCCCATTTAGCATTCGCCAACCTGCGTCATCTCTGGCGCCAGCTGGCATGATATCCGACTACCTGTTAAAGGATGAGTATGCTACACTGCAACACATTCTGTCCTGTTATGAGGCTATTAGATATGGCTGTTTATAGTAGGAGATAAGAAGCAGTTGACTCATTGAGGATCACCAGGTGAAATCAAGTGAGTAACTGCGCTTGAATTCAACACGCAATTTCCAGAAGCACAGCACAGCATTTATGGCTGGAGATTCAAGAGTTTTGGCAACTGACGCCTGTTGCTCGATTTGGCATAAGATTTGGATGCCTAAAGCTCCAATGTGAAATTGTTATTGTTATTTCAAGAGATTAGCGCTGATGTGGTAGAGCTGTAACTTATCAGTTAGGAAAGTTGACATACAACCAGGTGGTCATGAGTTTGAACACCACTCCACTCACCGTGGTTTGAGCACTCAGGTAGCTATATTAGCCTTCATGTAAAAAGTGTGGCTCATTGTATGCTGCACGAATATGCGCGAAATGGCTCAATGTGTCCCTATTTCTTTCTTATTCGAGGAATGGTGTCTTGCAAACTTGGATTGTTAAAATGGTTACAAGATGATAATTTGGGGAATTTATAAGAGGCTTAATGTTGGTATCTGAAAGTGAATGTAAAGAAGTCAACAAACATGAGAAAAGTAGGTAATGGTTAGATACTTGCAAGCGTGCAGGCAGTTGATGCTTTGTAACTGCACATACTGTAGAAGTATTAGTTTCACTTAGCTGCACAACTCATCGGACACTTACTTGAGGTCTGTCACACACTGTCTTTTATCGAGATTGGATTGTGGTAACGCAGGACAAGAAAAATCCATACTACTAGCATCAGTATGCCGCACAATAAGTGTGAATGTCTTCTTCTGGAGTCTGTCTTTTCTTACCCTTCGCCTTCCCATAAGGAAGATAGAATCAACCCTCTGCTGGTCCTCTGTGGTAAACATCTTAATGGTGTTGCACCCCTTGTCCAACCATTAGTTCAACTTCTGACCTTCTTCATAAGGTAACCATCTGAACTCTGTCGGTAACTGCCGTTTGTCGAACCGCTACCCAAGTGACGTTTCTGGCATGTTAGAACTTCAAAGAACAAGAGTTTCAGACAGCATAGGTCGTTGAGTCATTATGTGTAGTCCCGACCTCCATTCACTGAAGCAAAGCTACTACGTATGCCGAGTGAAGCGTTTTATTGTTTTAACACTTCACCGACTACATATTGATTACACTTTATTGATTTTCAGTTTTTTATTTCAGATGGAGCCATGCATAAATTATCTCATAACGATAAATCCTTCTCGAGTAATATATTTTCATCCCCTTTCCAATCTGATCGTTTCACTCAAAGTTACGTGGATTGGGCATTCTTTTGGGAGTGTCATTATACCATTGTGCCAACAAATTTACCATGTTTTCTTGAACACAGTGCGTCAAAGATACTCAATACGGGAAAGTATTTGAATGTCGTACAGAAATGCGGTAAGTTCTTTAACAGCCGTATTTCTCTTATTTAGTTCCGGCAATATATTTGAAACAAGAAATATAAAGTTTCCGGGTCTTGTTGATCTTGCGTAGTTTCAGTGATATGTTTATTTCTTGAAAATAAGATCCTGTTATCAGTTATATTTCACACAGTTGACCTAAACTTTATACAGTAAGGAATTGGAGGAAGTTAATTGCGAGATTGTTCAAAATTTAACAGTGAATAGGCGCTAGTATTCAGAAATTTTCGCTCATAAGGTTTTTATACTTTTTAGCGTACATATAACTTAAATTCTAGTGGTATATTCGTGAATTATGCAGACAAGTGACACGATTCTGAACCATTCAAGAATAACTCAGTTGTAATACATGTAGGCCTGTAGACATGAGATTTCAAGTAATCCTTGATAATATAAATGCTTACTGACACTGTCTGTTACCTCCTACTCATAGCATATGAGATTTAACTTTAAATTTAGTGAGTCACAGTCCCGTATCGCCCACATCAACGGTGGCAATCCTTTCCTCAAAGTACAAAGATTGAAACCTAGTGTTTTATACGCATTTTCGCTTAGCAGGTTTATGTCATCCGTGTGTTTTAAGTTAACCAAATACTTGAAAGACAACAAATCAATGCTTGATAAATCATTGTTGAGTAGAGTAGTATCCATCAATCCATCTGTAACAAATTTAAACTGGAATGATGACAATGAGCTCTTGCCAGACACTAGTTGTCGTCTGCTCAAATGACAGATCTCCATAAGCACATACAGGTGGAGGGTTATGATTAGCTGAATGTACCAACTAGGAACATCTTCCATATTCCTGCTGTGAGATTTAGGTCATTTATCTAGGCGTTCGACTCAAGTAGTGGATCTCTGGGATTAACTCTCGCTCCACCTAAAGTAGTCTTAGGAAACCAAGTGATACTATGAGCGCTCATGCAGTAAGTGTAGCTTATAACAACTTGATACATAAACACATGAGAGGTCGAGTTGCGTTCATACTCAGATAATCACGCAGAATCAACACATAACCTGTTAATGTTGCACAGCGATCTAGGCTACCATGCTTCATATCCTCACATCAAGATAAAAGGCACCAAAATGAAAAATAGAGATAGAGAAAAATGTAATTAAAAGTAGTAAAATAGTTTACGATATAAACTTAAATGAAACGGCGAGAGTGGACGCCGCTAGTGGAGACAATTTCATGCGTATAGGTTTTGGCAAATAAGTTTCTTCCTCAGGAAACCTACTGCGTGACAAGTAGTTATCTCGTAGTTGCGTCATCCACTTCACTACATTTGCATTTTGATTATCTGAGATAGCCGTGGTTTGGCAAACTTGGTCCAAATTTTCATTTCACCTTCAATCACCACCCTGTATCATTACATTTTGTTCGTAGTTGAGTGTAGTCGACTGGTTTTTATCGATTTACTAGTAATCAGATTATTTTAATTCTTCCTATAAGAAACGACGCAGACTAAGACGCTGGAACGAATGTCGATTAATACATTTTGTACAGTACTGATGAAATATTGTACACTTTCCATTAAAATAGTCATTTGCACGATGTGTTACACTTATTCTTCTTTTTCTATCTCGATTTACTCTTCATACGCCCACATTGCCTCTTGCGTTTCTCTGGGCAGAATATTTGCCCATCATTGGTAGTTGTCTGTGATTGCTACCGACCTCTTACTTATACTACTTATATCCATTCTTATCCGCAGCACCCACTACAATCCTATTGACTGTCTAATGAATATCATGCTACGGACCATCAGTATCATGAGTTTGTATTCTGTTATGGTTGACTGATCCTAGCAACCAAGAAATCCATTGGTTCTTATCGTTTTCCGTCTTAATTAATAGTTGTGGTGTGAAATATGGTCATTGAAGGTGGAAGACATGAGAAGGCTTCAGGTGTTTGACGACCGTTGTCTTCGTAGTATAAACCGTATTCCGCAGTGTCACCATGTGAGTAACGCAGAAGTCAGGAGTAGAGTTTTAGGGAGTAGAGGTAAGTCGGTTGACGAGGTTATGAACCTTCATCAACTGAGATGGTTGGGATACGTACTACGTATGCCTAGTCACCGATTGCCTCGTCACGCAATGTTGGCTGAAGTAGGTGCAGGCTGGAAAAAGGCCCGAGGTGGCCAGACTAAAACATGGCACAAATGTATGAAGTCTCTGACTGTTTGTTTGAGCCATGTGGGACGATGGAGACTAAGTGGTTGGGGTTTGCGGGACAAGAGGAACCAGTGGCTAGAGACTCTAGGAGATATGGTTGAGAACCGAAGTCAGTGGCGCAGATGTATACATACATTATCCTCATCTTGACGATGCTGTACTCAATCTCATCACTTTCTCATTCTTCGTTTCCCTCTCTTCGTACTTTATATTTCTTTTCACTGAATTTTCTTATCTTCATCTTGCGCCTCACTGACTTTTTACTTGATGTGCTGATATGAGGTGTGGCAACTCGGACTGTTACGCAGTAATGCCTGGTCCTAGGTTGATCTGGATGAATGGATGTGGTGTAAAGGGTGGGTAACCATTCGTCGTTATGTGGCGATCGCGTCATAGTATCCCAGTTCATAATAAAAACTCACCTGATACTCCACCAAAATTCTAATCGGCCCATTGTGTTCGTATACTTGACCTTTACTAGAGTAGTGTTTTTACCCAGCATCTTTTTCTTTGAGAGATACCAACATAGACCGTTCTATAGCTTCCGAAGATTTTTTGAGGTAATAGCAACTAGTAGTGCTCACCTAGCATGTGCACTGTTACTATTTCTGTTTAACTTTTTTATAGATGTGTTGATGGACACGACTTACATGTGACTTCACGAAGCTTGAACCACTTCCCTGAAAACAGTTATTTGACTTAAAGTATGCAGATGACGCCGTCATGTTACGCGATGACCAAAATCCAGGAACTTCTGGACGTCTTGAGCAGATTTCTCAGTATATCTAGCGTATGTTTCAAACCTGTGAAATGCTAAATAATGCTTCACTATTGGCATTCACTGACTTTCAGTTTGAAGATAAGGAGACAGTTGGTGGATTCTCTGACCACCACCTATTTTCATGTGTAGTCTTAGACCAAGAAGGCATAGACTGGAAGAAAGCTAAGGGGAATCATTTCTTAACATGTAACCAATTAATGGAGTTTCCGATTGTTAGTTTGAGGCATATAGAAAGGTTTAAATTGCTTAGCTTAATATGACAGGAATTAATGGCTAGGGACTCCGTGATATGGTTCAAAATTGTGGCAACTCGAACTGATGCACTGCCTTACCAGGTTCTACGTTGGTTTTTCTGCATCCAGCTTATGGGTCGTTTGTTAGAAGACAAGCTTAAGAAAACGTGTGTAATTTATATTGCAATCATCAAACGCATACTGAGGAAAATTGTCCTAGCATTTACTTGTTTTTGATCAGCTTTTCCCACAACCCTGTAAACTGACAATTCAAATGTAATGTAACTGAATGATGTTTACTGTGTTCTCTGATTTAGTGCTATCTTTCAAAACCCATAGAAACTGATCACTGAACCTCATATGGTTATGCAGAATACGTTACGCGTGAGTATAGATTATATGAAGCTATGCAAATGACCACATTTAGTAGTTATTTGTGTTTTGGAAATGTGAATTGATGAACCTGCTTCTTGAAATGTGTGCGTCTTGATTAGAAAGTTTTTTTTTGTGGCCAACTTGTGCAAAATAAGAAAATAGAAAGCTTCATTACAAATGAAATTGTCATCTCGATATCCTCACAGTCTTACACTAATCTAATGGACTTGGAATGCTTTTTAAAAGCGCAGGATTTATAGAAATCAATCAAGTTGAAGAGAATACGATGAGAAATATGGGTTTTAAATATGCTGTGGATAATCAGGTGTTTTTCTGCTATGCTGCTTTTCGAGTGTTTAGCATTTCTTACCTATTCAGGGGTATCCTTTAGGTGCTCTTCTGCTAGAGATGAGAAAGCATTTCAATTAGCTTTTTTTCCTTCTCGTACTATGCTTACATGCAATTAGTGCCTTTTTGTTCTGTGTTTAACTACATTTTTCTTTCTATAATTATATATCGGTTGATATTTTCTGTATTTTACAATATCAACTGTCTTTTAATTTCTGTTTTGCTCAGCTGATGACTACGAACTTCCTGCCTGTGAAGAACTTGCCTACAATCAAGAACATACAATATTTTTGGAGAAAATCGACCAAGCTCATCTGTATGCTAGCAGTTTATTATTGAATTTGGTGTTGAAAAAAAAGGACTTGAAAGAACACTTGAAGTAATGTTGTCATTATTATATATGTACGATAACTTGGGTAGTTCCTCTTTTTTTTCAGATCAACTAGTTCTCTGAGAAATCACTTAAAATAAATCGGATATTAGAGAGGGCTTGTATATTTAGATACGGCATATGTTTCTTGTGAATAACATCTATTTCAGTGAATAAGTTAATGTAAGGATATTTTCCACCACAAACTAGCATTCTTTAGAAGGTTGCTGGAAAATAATTCGAAATTACCACGTATTTTGATATTATAGCTTGTAAATACTCGTCGTTGATTAGACCGAATCGATCGATCAATATCGGCATATGGGATCCTGTACACGGATGCCTGGATATTGCTGATATTTCATGTTTTGAGCCCATATACCAATAGCTCCATCATCAAAGCTTTATTATACCCAGGAATCGTTTTCGTGACTCAGTGGCCCAGTGGATTACGCTTTGGCATTTGAAGTGATTGGTCGTAGGTTCGAGTCCTAGTGGGGAAGAAAATCAGTCACTAAGAGGTGGGTACATCTAACTGACGAGTCTCTAATAAAAAGAAATGCGTGTTCTAGATTCTACTGCTAGCCTCCATCCTCATTAATATTAACACTTATTTTATCTATTATCTGAGTCCTTAGCCGTGTTCAGTCTTTCTTAATCCCTATAAGACTGAACACAACCTTTATTTGTTGTGACTTAGCGCTCGGTATTGAGTCGACTGATCTTAATTTGTTATTTGACTGTTTCTTACTAATAAATTTTTACTTTATAGCGAAACTGTCTTCCATTGTGAACGTCAATTCTAACTTTTGGATTGTGTGTATATAGGCTACTGATTCTTGTTTTAGGAATTCAGTAACTTGAATTAAGTCGCGATTAAAAAGTGAACTGTTAGCCTGATGGTTTCAGGGGCTTGTTTAAATAAATAATCCGTCATTCATAAACGATTAGTTTGCTTTTAGTGACACTTCGAAGACGTATCAGGCAGCTGATATTCTTTGCTAAGAATTACACCAGCATAGCAAAATAAACAGAAAGTTATTGTCTTTACTGTCGACCTCAGCCTTCCAAGATTTATTCAAGCAAACAATTTACTCTAATGATTTTCCAACCCTTTGTTTAAGCTAAATTACATGGATTCGGTTTACTTAAAGGTGCCTAGGTAATCTGATAGTGTCACCGGTATCATGATAATTTTACAACTCTCAAAGAAATATTAATCTATACTTTCAGTACTTTTTGACATTTATTAGTAAAGCGTACCTCTTTTCTAAAAGGTCGAAATGGATTACTTCTAGTTGTGTGTTTTTAAACTACTTTATTCACAATGTTCTTTTTTATTTTTACAGATCTGTGAAGCGTTTCTTTTTGTTGGATCAAGGTGATTTCATTGTTCACTTCTTGGATGCTGCAGCATCAGAACTATGCAAGCGTAGTGAAGGTGAGTTACTTTACACGGAGCTGTTCAATACAGTTTTTAAAAACTCTAATAAGAATGCTGTGAGTTAATTTTGCATTTATCTTTTTTATATTGCATAAATATCTGCGTTTTTGTGAAAAGCTACTACTCACTCTTTTCTTTTTACAGTTGTTTCTCAACTACGCTTAAGTTCATTGTTAGAATCGGCTCTGAGGACTAGCACAGCTAATGCTGATCGATTCAAAGATAATCTGGCGTAAGTTAGGTTTCTTCTCGAAGATTTATAAACTGTTTTAAACATTTATTTATTTCACTAATCCTTTCGTTCTTTATAATTTAAGTTGTTTCTATGCTTTATCAGTAAATCTTATTATGCTGCACATTTTTATGAAACACTTTTTCAGTCGAATCTCTTTTCTATTTATTTATTATCTAGTGTTGTGATATTTCAGTTTGATCTAATCTCTCAAATTTTGATGGTTTTACGTGCTGGATCCGAAAGTAAACCAGGTAATTTGCATTTCATACTTGACATGTGAGCATGTTATTTTATACCTTGTAGTAGACTAACCTGTACCGGATTTTTTTTCAACTCGGTGTTGGTTCAAGCATACTGTTGTTTTTCTTGTCGCTGGAATACACTACTTAGATGTTATTCTAAAGGATTATTGATTGACTGTATAAAAACAGAATTATATTTCATAGATATCCAAACCGAATTGGGGTTTGGTGGTTGGAAACATTTCAGGCATTGGGTAGATGATGTTCATTATTTTTGTTGCATTTCCCAATGCGTGAAAAACAAAACAAGGTTCTTATCACTGACGTTTCGCCATTAAATGATAATGGCTCTATTAAAGTTACGGTAAACTTTAATCGAGCTATTATAAATGCTCTCGGATGTATGAAATCGGTGTTTACGAAGTTGTCAGCAGTTTTCAGCGTATCTGTTAATTGCAGTAACTACAACAGTTTTTTAGTATTTTGGCTCTCAGATTTTATCAATACTCACTTCCTATAATATATTTTCCGATAAATTTCCTTCCCTGGATTATATGTTTCAAATGAATTTCATGATCTACAACAATAACTGTATTTCAGTTTGGAAGTTCGTGAGGATTGATTGATTTCAAGGTAATATTCACAATGGGCTAAAATCAGTTGAAAGATGATCGAAAACCTGAGATCATTGAATAGAAGTAGGAAAATGTGAACCATTAGAGTTCAACCCAGAAGCTAAAAGTAAACGTGGTCCCCGTAACACCTCAGGTTCTTGGGTTCGATCTCCGGTACGGTTCTGGGTGCGCACCTCTGAAGAGTCTGACGCTAGGATGCAACATTTGTCTAATGTTCCGAGGTCATCAATGCTTCTCCAACTCATTTCGGTCCTTGACGAATATGACCCTGGAATCACTTTACTATTCTGAATTTATAAGAAGGATATTTTTATTGATAATTATATCTCCGTTGGGTTCCTGGTGCAACATAGGACTTCAGTAGCACGTCTACATTGCACTCTCTTCTCTGAAGTCTTTTCAACCTGACTCCACGACTACCCACAAGCTTTCATTTATTCCTCACACCATCTCCTTAATGTCATCCTCAGCTGGGACGCCCAACTCGTCGTTTCCCCTTTGGATCCCACTCGAGGACTTGGCGCGTGATGTCCCCGAATGGTCTTCTCAGTGTATGCCTGACCTAATCCATCTCCACTTTCTTCTACATACTTGTTGGGCGATGGGTCCTTGGTTGGTTCGTTGCCAGCCAGAGTGAGTTCCTTGTTGCTTATTCTCATTATTCTGGCCATCTGATCTTCAGTGTCAGTATCGAGTGAGCGTAGGCAGTAGCTGTTGATGAATGTCTGTAGTTTGTTGGAAATGCTTTTGGTGACGCGCCAAGTTTCTGAACCACCACATAGAAGCACTGACTTGAAGTTGGTGTTTAAAATCCGGACCTTGTTGTTTATGCTGAGTGCAGTGCAGTGCAGTAGATCTTCACACTGGTTTCAGGTTAATGAAAGTCTGTCTTGCTTTTCCAGTCCTGGTTTTGACATCCTCATCTGTGCCTGTGCCGCCTGTAGTTGAAACAATGCTGCCTAGGAAGGTAGGTGAGAGACAACTTCCTTTAGGTGATGATTGATGCTTGTTGTCGGTTGGGTATGATCATCACCTCTGTCTTCTCTACGTTCACCTGAAGGAAGTTCCGTCTTCGCTGCCCTGCCTCTTCTGTCAACTTGTTGGTTTTTGCCTGTAGATCTTCGAGCTTGTGCAACAAGACATTAGACATAAATCATCATCGACGGCGAAATCGAAATCTTCTCCTGGGGTCTTTTCATCTGTCCAGCCAGCGTATGTCCACCTTCTCACAGCTCCTCACATTTTGTTGCATGATCCAGTGCAGTCTAGTCGACCAGAATCAGGAAGATCATCGGTGATAGTAGGTGGCAGCCTTGTCTTACTCCTGTCTCCTGTCTTTACTTCAAAGGCGTCACTGAGCTTTCCATTGTGAATCACTTGGCATGTAGCATCATACAGCATATAGTTGCTGTTGAATGAGGTTGATAAAGGTTTGTGTCACTAAAACCGTAGTGTTTGAGCAGCTGGCTGCCACCAAATTACTTCTCGGTCGACGCTGTCGAAGGCCTTTCCAAAGTTGATGAAGTTGAGGTAGAGATCCAGTTGACTGGCATTCTATGCTCTGTCCTATAATGATGTGTTGCGTGGCGTAGCAATTCGATCCGCACATGATTTGTCTTTCCTGAAGTCAGCCAGCCGGCCGGCCAGTTCCGGTGGTAATTTTGAATCCAGAGCATTTTTTGGTCTCTCCAGGATGATGCGGCTTAATATTTTGCTTAGAGTGGACAGCAGCATGATTCCACACCAATTCTTGCAAAGACATAGGTCTGCCTTCTTTGGGAGTTTGACAAGGTAGCTCTTCTTCCAGTCGTCAGGTATCTTTCCTTCCTTCCTTCCTTCCTTTCAAACCTTCTGCAATGGTGGTTTCGTGTGAGCATGTCCACTGTTGTCTCTGTGTCTGTTTTCAGTGCTTCTGGTGGGATTCCATCTGGTCCTGCTGCTTTCCCGCATTTCAGTAGCTTTATGTTATTCAGAACTTCGACTTTCGTCGGAGGGCTTGTGTTCACTGTTAATCCTGTGGGTGGGCTGCTGGTGGTATTTCTGGACGAGTTGTAGGTGGTGGTGGTGGCCGATTGAAGAGCGTTTTGAAGTGGTCAGCCCATCGTTTCCTTTGTTTCTCCTCTTTGGTGATAATAACCAGGTTTCCTTCACTATCTGTCATTGGTTCCATCTGTGATGTGTTGATCTCTTCGCAGACAGCAAGTGACCTGGTTACTTGATACAATGTTGTTAGGTCTCTGTCTCTCCTACCTGCAGCCTGTTCTGCTTCACTTGACAATGTGTCGTAGAAGTGTCTTTTGTCTTTGCGTGCACTCTTCTTCACTTCTTTGTCCAGTGTTTTATGCATAGTACTCAGTTCCTCATTTCGTTGTTCATACCTGCAGCGTACTGCACTGGTTCATCTTCTGCTTCACCATCCTCCTCTCCCTGCTCTATCAGCTTCCATGTGTCCGTCGAGATCCATTCCTTGTCTTGTCTTGTCTTCTTTCTTCTTCCTTCCTAATACGGTTATGCAGGTTTCTTTCCACATCTCTTTCACAGAGTTCCAGTGTTCTTCCACTCAGGTCTCTTCAGGGATGTTGCTCAATGTCTCCCATTTTGTCCTGATGACTGACTGACTGACTGACTGACTGACTGACTGACTGACGTGAAGATTTTCTTTGTAGTTTTGTCCTTCAGTTGAGTTCAGTTTCTGTTCTGGGTGTTCAACTTGAAGTGTGGCCGTCTATCAGCAACTTCTGTGAAGGCTTTTAACTTGATTTGGATGGTAGGTTCCCTGCACTAGATAGTGAGTGGTGTGAACCTACATGTGCTCCCCTTCTTCATCTGATCTTGTGTTCAGTAGGTTGCGTCTTCACCTTTTTGAGATTGAGATGAAGTTGATGTGATTTTTAGTGTGTCCTGGTGTCTGGTGAAATCCATGTCGCTTTGTGGATATCCTTGTGCTTGAACACACTGTCTCCAATCACCAAGTCGTTGAATGCACAGAAGTCTGCAAACAGTTCTCTATTCTGGTTCATTTCACCGAGCGCTTCTCGACCCATGGTTAGTTCTCTTCCTGTGTTTTCAGCTCCCAGTTTGTCATTCATGTCGCGCATAAGAATTTTGATGTTGCCAACTGGAATGGGATTTTGTCCATTGTTGATTGGAGTTGTCTGTAGAATTCCTCCATCTTCTCTTGAACTTCGTTATTTGTGGGTGCTTAGCGTAGCATTGTGTGATTGTGACTTTCGTTCCTTTTGAGTTGAATCTTGCTGTCATGATCCTGATGTTGCAGGAGGAGATTGGTTCCGACTGCATGGGAGAGAGAGAGAGAGCCTTCGATGCTCTTGAAGGGGACATCATGATAGCCACTCTATAGCTCAGTGTGCTCGTGGTTGTCATCTGGGTGAGAATATCGGAGTAGATTATTGACTCTCCAGTTGACAGTTTGGAGAGTCGACTTGCATTGGAGCTGTTTTCGCAGATTCCAAGCACTTCTATGCCATATCTTCTCATTTGTTTTGCAATCTGGACAGCCTTGCCAGCCAGCTTCAAACATTGTGTGGAGCTTCTATTTCTGCATGTTTACTGTTGCATTCATCGAGAGAAGAGAAGACACATCGGTTGGCTGTCTTGCCGAAGGGTTTCACCAACCGGCGTCATTTCGTCTCCGTGATTCGAGTGAGGAATAAGTTTATTTTTATTTTCTATAATTAGTTTGTGCTTTGAAGTTTGTTTAGAGATTGAATTTGTTTTACGGTGTAGGTTTGCTAGTCCTATGCCTGAGGTTTCGTGTTTATCCGGGCTTAGTACCGGCTAGTAACTAGTGATGTAGTTGACTAGGCGAGGTTCACAGTTTGATATATATGCGTCATTTGATCGGACATTTATACATTGTCTTTCAAGAGAGAGTAGAATATACACGGAGGCTTTGTAAATTCGGGACCGTGTATAGTCTTATGCCGTGATGCAACCACACGGGTGTCTTCACTTCAGTGGATGTTGTTCACATTAAGAGTAAGTACCAGTCGGGTCCCCGCATTGTTTTGTTTGAAAGGGTGTTCGGGAATTCAACAAAGGACGCTAGCGTATACATGATTTAAATATTACTAGTAACCCTGAAATGTAAGAACGGTTGTTACTTAGATCGATCAGTGTACATTAGTGTTTAACACAGTAACCTCCGAATTTTATGTTACATCTTAGCAGTCAATTCTCTTTTTATTTCAACTAGCTTGTAGTTATAATCATATTCCGATGTTTGAGATGAGTGGTTCTACAATCAATGTTCTTACAAGCCATCTCATTCTTTATACCCTTGAACCCCTTGGTTTCTCATATGAACGTTTCCAAAGAATTTTATAGCGACATAGCTTAGTGATTAAAATACACTCACATCGTTAACCCATTCCGTGTTATTTAATTTCAGACAGCCCTTTGCCTATTGAGGACAAAAATCTTTCTGGTTTAGAAGCTTTCTGTCTGGACTATAGAGTTGGTTGGCCGATCGACTTAGTTCTTAATCGCCAAGTGATGGATCGTTATCAAATGCTTTTTCGACATCTTCTATATTGTAAACACGTGGAAAGGTTGTTGTGCAAGTAAGAATAAATGTCTCCGTAATTTTTGTATTTCATTTGTAATTTAAAAATCAACATTTTCGTATTGTTCGGAATTTTGCTACTGGCTTAAAAATGCAGATCTACATCTCTTACTAGCCAAAGAAAGCATCTCATCAGCATTACTTTCTGGGAATTCATATAATTTAAAAGCTCCACTCCTGAAGCATTCATCTTAGTGAGCATAAACTTGAAAACATATGTTACTTCACTGACTTATTGACTGGTTGACCAAATCAACTTAGAACCTCGCACACAGGTTCATCGGCTCAAGTTGCTACACTTCACAGTAGAACACAAAGAACACGTGGATAGAAAAAGAGTGATATCAATGAAGATAGAGTAGTGTGAGAGAACAAACAATTCGAAAATAAAGGTTAGTGCGAATACTCAAGCTTTATAATATGTCAAGAAGTGAATACATCTGCGCCATTGTGACCGATTTTCAGCCATATCACCTAGAGTCCTCAGCCACTGATTCCTTTCTTCTCGGGAAACCTCACCAGATAGTCTACATCTTCCCATATGGCCCAAACCAGTAGTCATAGACGTCATCGACTGATGTCACGTCTTTGTCTCGCCACCCTGAACCGTCTTCCGGTCTAATTCAACTTCGTCTGGCTTGGCACATCGAGGTAGGAGGTGGCTCGGCATGTGCTACTTCACTACAGCTCCTGTTTATCTGGAAAACTCTGTAACTAGTGGTAGACTAAACTCACTGTTTTAAATGTGGTACATGTATGAAATATTTTATTTCATGGCGTTAGCCAACATCAATTAACTGTTGTCAAGTAGCACCTACAAGCTCCTGAGCGGTTTCCAAACCAGCTGTCTAAATGAATTCAAATAGTTATTAAATATATGTAAAAATTATTAATTGTTTTTCCATAATTTCTATCAATGTCTTAAGATCATAGTAAGTAGCCGTACCGGGTTATTCACTTATTTTTTCATATGGATTCGTTATACTAAGGATGCTTAAAATTCGAAGACATTCACGGATCACTCAGTTGCCATAATGATAATGTTTTTGATCTGTTATTAAAAAAAATTATGCAAATCACCTATATGCACCTAGAGCCATAAAATGAGCCGACAGCTATGTATCACCCATTGAAATGATAGCCAACCAAAACCCTCAGTGGTTGAAGTAGAATCTTGATAAGCGGCTTGTTCTGATAGCTGAATTGATAGAGCTCATCAGGCCGGTAACTTCGAGGCTGTTGGTTAGATTTCTGCTAGAAGTCAGGCTTTCATTTCGCCTTCAATCATCACCTCGTATAAATAATGATAAAGCAGTCTGCCAAATTACGGCTGTCTCAAGTGAATGTGGCAATAAAAGGATGGAGCGATCTCATTGCCTGAATCTATACAGCAAAGTGACTTTTTTAAGATAAGAGATAACCGAATGAGGTTATTTCTGTAATTATGATATAGAAAAACAAAGTGAAATAATCTATTTTTGGCTATTACTTTGGAAGAAAGAAAGAAACAAGGTGGGGTGACCGTCGTATTGTTTGAGTCTAATATGGTGATATACAGAGTTATATTTAAGTTCCAACGTTAGCGTCAATTGTGATTTGTAAGAAGTTTCAGACCGCTAGCCTTTTAGGTGGTTGTTTCGCTCGCCTACTTCAGCCTAGGCAACCGGGTAATATCATAAGCCCTTACACAATTAGTGAGGCGCATAGCCTAGTACATAAACACGTACCAGGTTGAATTATCTTAATAATTAATATAGCGTGTTTTTTTGACGTCGACCGTTTTGAAAGTATCACTAAATTTGTTTTTACCTCCGAATTTTTCAGATCGTGGATTCTAGTCAAACTTGCCCGTAAATCTGATAATCTAATGACAACATGGTTTACAACTGCATTCCTATTGACTCAAAGAATGCTTTCTTTTGTTCAACATTTTCAGTACTATATGTCGGTTGAAATCATTGAACCTGCATGGCATACCTTTTTCAAACGTCTGGATAAGGTACAGATAATACTCTTTTATTATTGTTAAACAAGTTTATTTACTATCGTTATTAAACATGTCAGTCATTTGTATGCTCAATTATAGTAACTTTCAAATTCAAGGGCCTCAGTGTTATCCATTGTGAATTTAATTTCACTTTCACAGGTGAAGAATACATACGTTCAATAAAACTGATTAAAATCCACATAAATGTACATATATTCGCTATGAATTCCGAAATGTTTCGGTAAAAAGATTGTGTGAGAACACTATTCTCTAGTTAGGTTGAGCAATTATGCGGAGTTGTCTATCAGTGTTGCGATTATTTAACTTTCAATCCTTTGAATAATCGGGTTGCATTATTTGCTGTTATACATGTATTTCTCATAGTTGACTACATGAATGTGACGTGAGATAGATCAAAGTTTCACATTTGATCATCTTTACCTTCAACAAAAAGTGAAACAGGCTTTTACTATTTGATGGCATTCAACAATACCATTTTCATTTTTTATCCTCTCAATATTCACAACAGAACTGTCATTATTTTTCCTCAATAGGTATCAAATTTAGACGTACTTCTAGATTCACATCTACACTTTTTGGAAGTGTGCATGGATGACTGTTTACTAACCAGTCCTGAACTGTTAAGTTTAGTTGGGAAATTATTAGTGGCATGCGTGACGTTTGCCAATTTTATTCAGCATTTTGCTATTTCGATAAGTGGAATCAATTTATCATCTTCTGGTGTTAGTGATTATGGTAGTATCCATTCATTACGTTATTCTGATGCTGAGAGACCGTTTCTACATGATCCCACACCATCAACAGCTTTGGAACGACCAGCGAATAAAATGAAATGTGCACGTCCTCAATCTTCCATGAGTTCAGCTGAATCTATAGCAGCAAAAGTGAGTAAAGAGCCGCTTTACTTTATAGATAATATGCAATATGTATAGTTTTTTGAACATCAGTGAAACAGTAATTTTTAAAATATTTATTCCTTACAAGTCATCTAAGTAACTAACTAGTAAATATTAGAAAAAACTTAAACATGTCTGCTTCTGTCTTTCATTCATTCAGTATGCCTAGTTAATTGTTGTTTTTTCTTTAGATAAATAATGGTTATTCATTTTTGAAAAGCAACTCAACATCCGAACTGCAAAAATATTTTCGAACATAAAAAGCAACAATCTGAACGAAGAATTTTCTTCTGAATAAATTCTCATTGTGTTGTATAAAAATGAAATGCATTAATACAGCATAAAATCAAGCCAAATTAGGGGTGAATGCATTTTAAAAATGGGGTGAGATTTAAGGACTGTAAGGAAATAGATTTATCTTTTTTAAATTAGTCAATATTGGGATGATACATATACAGAAGAATGGTATGATGGTGAACAAAAAGGCAGACGAATAACAAAGACAGGAGTGACCTTTACATTACTGAAAGCCGAGGAGGAATAACGCTTGAATATGATCTTACTGAATACACAGTTCAGCTTTGATCAACCTTATGGTGACAACCCCAGCTATGTTGAGCAGGGGTTAGCGAGCTACTTGTGGTATCGTTTTTAGAATACGATAAATTACATCTGTGTGATGCCATATGCCTACTAGCTGAGCTAAGACGTATTTTTTCACCACTTTCACTTTTCCCTTTCCCAACCAAACCAGTAAATGCTCTCTCTCTCACCTGCCTAATCGTACGCCCGATGTAACTAGTGTTCCGCAGGAACAGTCAAATTGTTATATGAAAGATGAAAAGCTAAGATTAGGTAGGGTATCATTTAGTCTTGGGTCGATCATTGACTGACTACTGAAAGATATGCAAAACCGACCTACATAAAACGCCCGGTTGACTGCTCTAGCTAGGTGTTGTGATAGGATGTCATTTACGGTGTCTCCTTTGAATTGTAAACACAGAAACAGAGGTTTCTTCTCTACTATCATCAATTCTCGTTTAGGACCAATGTAATTGATGTCAGCTTTGATGAACCTATCCGTTTTCACTTAGAATCTCACCGATACACAGTAGTTCTTCCACACACTCGGAACAAATCGATCTTACCTTAAATACTAAGCATTTTCATCATCACGAAGCAAAGAAATTGTGTATGCTGTGCGTTAGATGTCGATTTCCTATATATACTTCTCAGTATAGAGGCATCTTCTTTACTTGTCATTAGCACATCAAGGAGATGTATAGAATCACTGATTTCATTTTCATATGTAAAATGAACTGGTGGATGAGCGCTGTTGAAATGCTTCAGATAGAGTTGGCACATGGGGACTTATCAAAGACCAGAAAAGTATCATCCATATATCAACAGTACAACTCTATATTGGCAATTTTATCTTTCAAAGTAACATTTTTCAGTTTTGCCAGAAATATATCTGCAAATATTAGGCCGAATTGTAACCCCATAGCCTTTCCGTCAATATGTCTGTACAGACTACTTTTGAAGATGAACCGGACATTCATTACGCATTTCAGCAATAGTTCCTTCAAATTCACAATCTGAATACTGGTATCTAATTGTCTTTTTACTAATTGTTCGCAGATGTAATCCACGGTTTCCACTAGAAGGATGTGGTATCTAGGGATCCCATGCATTTGTTTAAAACATTTATAGAGACTGAGATTATGTAAATTTTTCCTAAGGTGAAATCTTAACTGTGAATAGTAGTGAAGGCACGTCACAGCATGTCTGTAGTACTATATCTTGCCAATTTTCAGACGTTATATGTCATGTATTTATGACTCTTTCCCTAAGTAATCTGAGCTTTTTTCCACTTTGCCTTGTATTCAGGATATTCAGTGATAAGTTTGGCATACTTTTGTTTTCCGTAGCTTTGAGAACCGTAGAAGTTGGGTTTGTTTGTCTGTTACATTCTGGCTGATTTATGAATAGTAACAAGACTGCAATCAATTTTCGCTCAAGTCATGATCATCGACAACCCCTTCCCGATTGCAAAGCTGTCAACAAGTGAAGAGATCAATCAGCTTATCATCTTTAAAAAAAGAGAACAGTGACTTAAATGCTAATATGAATGACATTGAAAATTAGTTGGATGTAATTTCTAAGTGTTTAGTTTAACAGTCTCCAAGTCATATCAGTGGGTTGTTAAATGTCTATTAGATCTAGACATGGATCTGTAGAAGTTAAAAATCAAGTGCAACTTGGTGGCGACACAATGAATCATATCACGTTTTCTGAAAGCTTATGCCGTTGGATTAATTCAACGTGCATTACAGTACAGACACTATTATAGATCTGTAGTTCCGAATTCGAGCTGTCTTCCGTTTGCTGACGTTTGGACCATTAAAAGTCATCAGCAATAACATATGATATGTGTTGCGTAACCTAGTACATAAGCTTCTGCATGGTTACTAAGTTGCAGCGTCACTAGGAAAATAACACAGTGCAAATTATTTGGATAAAATTATTGTTAACTAGCATGAAATTGAAAACTAGAAAATACTCATTTGTACTTTACTTCTCTTGTTTTTATGGCACTAATGCTTACCATCATGATATGAAGCAAGGACTAAATATAAAAAGAAAGGTGACCTGCAGAAAAACATGAAATCAATAAGTGGGCTGGTTTCCCTAGCGTTATCAGCTGTGGTGTCTTTACATTGTAACTGCAAGCAAGTTAAATATATGGCAGTTCCATTTTCTCTTTTTAATTTCAGGTCACCAGGGAAGAATTTGATAGAATGAGTCTATCTAGTGACTCTGCTCAAATAGTTTCCAGTGTTGATGCAGCCTTCAATAGAATGTTAGTTTTACTCCTTGAAAGAATCAAACTTATGGCTAAGCATCAAAGCAAGTTATTAAGCTTGGTATCAAGGTTAGTTGACCATTTTGATAACGCAATATATCAACCCATCTTGACCTTCTAAAGTGTATGTTATTTAGGTCCCACCACATCTAGCTACTCAGTTTATTTCGACATGATTTCTTAGTTTCAGTAAGTCAAAGTTAATACTTAATGGTCCTATTTGCCTCAGCGCACATCGGCAAACCAAGGTGCGAGATAGGGATATAACAAAATGTAATTTAAATTCACTCAGCTAACACTGCACGACGGATCGTGACTAGACATGCATTATATGTATCCCAGCCATCTGAGCCACTGAAGTTTTACAACCTGAATAACATCTTTACTTGAAACTCAACGCCTGACTTCTATGTTGCTGATGTGGTGGTTCCAAATACTTCGCCTATTGAAATAGTGAAGATTACTTGTAACTCAGGTGGATGGTCTTGGTTCTATTGTGTTCTCTTAGCTGAGTTGTTTAATCGTGAAGCTTTCATCGTCTTTCTAGACGACATCATCAGCACTTACTTCAGTATGAAGTGAGCTGTCAGTATCTCTCCGTGAGTGATTTGGTAGCTTGCCTTGACGAAGTGGTCTGTGATTGGTTGTTTCCTCTGATTATTACGTCATTGACTGCATAGGTTTTCCTGTTGGCCATTCCCCTGCTTGACCTCTTACCTTTCTATCGTTTATCATTTTTCGTATTGGTTGATAGATTGGATCTATGTCTATGCATCTGTTGATTGCTGACTAACCTGAATGTCAAGCTTATAAGAATTCTCTTTTTTTTTGTGTGTTTCCTCTGTCCAAAATTTTTACATTGTCGAAATTGAATCCATGTCCATAATTATCCACATGCATTGAAATGAGTGATGAAATGTCGTGACGTTTAATAGCCAATTGGCGTTCATGTAGACGAAGGCGAAGAGGGCAACCACTTTGTCCAATGTAGTGTTGACTACAGTTATTGTAGTTGATTTTGTAAATGATATTCAGTTTCAGTAATCTTGTCATGATTTCTGATATATTCTTTATGTATGGTAGGACGATGCGTTTGTTGATTTCTGCCGATGACTTTCTAGTTGATGATGCACGGGATAGGCATCTTGTGATAAAGTTTCGTGGGTATCCGTTCTTCTTTTGGATAGACATCAAGTAATTTTCTTCGTTTCTCCGTGAAGTTGTTGTACTGCAGTGCAGTGTGTTCTCGCTCTTTTGAATAGAGTCTGCACGCAACTGATTTTGTGTGTTGTCGGCTTGTTGCTAATGTAGTGGAGGATTTGGTCAGTGTGTGTTGCCTTCCTGTACACTTGGATTTCCAGCTTTCCGGCATTTGTCCTACTGACTAGAACATCCAGGAATGGTAGTTGGTTGTTTGACGCCTTCTCTCTTGTGAATGTGATGTCACTGAAAACTTTTTTGATCAAATTGTGGGTGTTTTCTATATCATCTTTTTTAATAATGACAAAAGTGTCGTCCACATGGCGAATGCAGAATTTTGGTTTGATCACAGGTAGGATGATGGCTTCCAGTTTCTGCAGTTAGCCCGGATATCGGTGATCCCATTGGAGTTCCTTTCATCTGTTTGTATATCTTGCCGTTGAATTGGAAGTTTCTTGTTAGGTACCTCGAACTGACGAGTCCCAAATAAGACGGGTCGTGCGTCCTAGATCCCACTGCTAGTCACTACCCATCAGTAATATTATTACTGTTCTTAAAATAATTGTTCAAAACCTAATGAATAGTGTTTGATATTAGTATTTCTCTCGCCTAATCATTTTCCGTGATCGGTTACATTGGAGGTGCATCAGCTATCACGATGACAACATTCTTCAACTTGTCTGCTCATAAAATAGCAGCCTGATTTGAGTGACACTTTGCACTTAGTTCCTACTCTTACTTTTTTTGTTTTTTTTCCAAACTATTCTTATTCCTATATAGAAGTAATACGCAACTAGTTGGTGTAAACAAACTATTTGATGCGAAATAAATGGGGGTTAGTTAATTAACTATTCTCTTCGAACTGCGGACGCTGATCTTGTTGGGTTAGACATTGATGATTCTAATAGAATGTAAACACATCAGTGTCGGTTGAGTTATATGAGTCATTTACCTTTAACTCTGACTTAAAATGTAGCAATATTCTTTCCTGACATCTCCAGTTGGTTTTGCTTCAGTATACCCTATACATATTACGCATCAGATAAGTTGGGATAAAGGCTTGTCAAATTTCGTGAAATGAATACTAACGGGCGATAAATTAGCTAACAGAAATGAGCAGTGTTTTCCCTCAGAGATGTGATTCAAATCTGACAGTAACCTAAAAATCAACTATCCGTCAGATTGCTCAAACTTTAAGCATATATTCTAGAAACCTAAATACTATTATATTAAAAATGAAATATACTTGTTAAATCCCAATGAGGTAGAAAAATTCATACCAGCCAATAGCTGCTACCTTGATATGGTGGTCGGGCTTGCATATCACAATCACCAAACGAGCTACGCTGGCGGACGCTTGTTCGTCTATGCCCTCCTATCACAGAAATGTCTGTTGGGTAGTGGTAAGAAGAAAGCAGTTACTGTTGTAAATTACTACACTATGATAGCGGTCTGAGGGCGAAGTCGTACTACTGCTAACTAGATGGAGTGTCGCAGTGGTATGATATTTCTCTTGGATGACCAGCAGTACCCGGCAAATGCTGCCTTCCCAATTACATGATGGGGTTAAGAAAAATCGGCCGCCAAAATAAAACACTTCACCTGCCCTCAGTCTTTGGGGACCGATGGTGTGGGTTCTCTTTATACGGCGCCAGGACGACAAAAACTCAGAACATTCCGCAAAAGGGCGTGTGTGAGAGACCTCAAGCAGATGTCCCACGGGCTCTGTGGTCACAAAAAGCCTTTTTCTTTCAATTACCTTAAGAAATAACCTTTCACGGTGTGGGCAGCCGGGAAGTGTCAGTCGCCTCCAGTAGTACACAATATTCAATCAAACATAACCTATCCTCCTTCACCGCCTCCCAATACGAACACCAAGCCTCTTATGCCTTTCCCAACCTCTCATTCTCCAACCGTTGCCAGCAATCAAAGCCATCAAAACCTCATTCCTAGTCTCCTAAGACCCTGCCATCGATTTCGTGAAGCCGCTCTCAACTTCCGAACTCTATGCCAAACCAGACAGCAAGCATCGCTCACCATAACTCTGGAATTTCAAGCCATGCATATACGCTATGTCTTTCCGATAAATATGCATGACCCGAGTGTGGTTGTAAAACTGACCTCACCCGTCCATAGTAGTGAGTCTTCAAAATTCACTTTAGGAGTATATGGAGACCTAGTGGCTAGCTCTCGTGGAGTCGTTGGTGTACACAGAATGGCGATAAGTGCGTTTCTCGTCAAAATATCAGTAAACAGCCGTCTATTTGTTGTTCGGCCAAACATGGAGCGTACAACACAGGAAGAGAACTGATCACGGGTCTAGAAGCGCTCGGTGAAATGAACGAGAATGGAGAACTGTTTGCAGACTTCTGTGCATTCAACGATTTGGTGATTGGAGACAGTGTGTTCAAGCACAAGGATATCCACAAAGCGATATGGATTTCACCAGACACCAGGACACAGTAACACTCACATCGACTTCATTCCAACCTCAAGAAAGTGGAGACGCAGCCTACCGGACACAAGATCAGATGAAGAAGGGGAGCACATGTAGGTTCACACCACTCACTATCTAGTGCAGGGAACCTACCTTCCAAATCAAGTTAAAAGCCTTCACAGAAGTTGCTGATAGACGGCCACACTTCAAGTTGAACACCCAGAACAGAAACTGAACTCAACTGAAGGACAAAACTACAAAGAAAATCTTCACGTCAGTCAGTCATCAGGACAAAATGGGAGACATTGACCAACATTCCTGAAGAGACCTGAGTGGAAGAACACTGGAACTCTGTGAAAGAGATGTGGAAAGGAACCTGCATAACCGTGTTAGGAAGGAAGAAGAAAGAAGACGAGACAAGACAAGGAATGGATCTCGACGGACACATGGAAGCTGATAGAGCAGGGAGAGGAGGATGGTGAAGCAGAAGATGAACCAGTGCAGTGCACTGCAGGTATGAACAACGAGAAGAGGAACTGAGTACTATGCATAAAACACTGGACAAAGAAGTGAAGAAGAGTGCACGCAAAGACAAAAGACACTTCTACGACACATTGTCAAGTGAAGCAGAACAGGCTGCAGGTAGGAGAGACAGAGACCTAACAACATTGTATCAAGTAACCAGGTCACTTGCTGTCTGCGAAGAGATCAACACATCACAGATGGAACCAATGACAGATAGTGAAGGAAACCTAGTTATTATCACCAAAGAGGAGAAACAAAGGAAACGATGGGCTGACCACTTCAAAACGCTCTTCAATCGGCCACCACCACCACCTACAACTCGTCCAGAAATACCACCAGCAGCCCACCCACAGGATTAACAGTGAACACAAGCCCTCCGACGAAAGTCGAAGTTCTGAATAACATAAAGCTACTGAAATGCGGGAAAGCAGCAGGACCAGATGGAATCCCACCAGAAGCACTGAAAACAGACACAGAGACAACAGTGGACATGCTCACACGAAACCACCATTGCAGAAGGTTTGAAAGGAAGGAAGGAAGGAAGGAAAGATACCTGACGACTGGAAGAAGAGCTACCTTGTCAAACTCCCAAAGAAGGCAGACCTATGTCTTTGCAAGAATTGGTGTGGAATCATGCTGCTGTCCACTCTAAGCAAAATATTAAGCCGCATCATCCTGGAGAGACCAAAAAATGCTCTGGATTCAAAATTACCACCGGAACTGGCCGGCCGGCTGGCTGACTTCAGGAAAGACAAATCATGTGCGGATCGAATTGCTACGCCACGCAACACATCATTATAGGACAGAGCATAGAATGCCAGTCAACTGGATCTCTACCTCAACTTCATCAACTTTGGAAAGGCCTTCGACAGCGTCGACCGAGAAGTAATTTGGTGGCAGCCAGCTGCTCAAACACTACGGTTTTAGTGACACAAACCTTTATCACCTCATTCAACAGCAACTATATGCTGTATGATGCTACATGCCAAGTGATTCACAATGGAAAGCTCAGTGACGCCTTTGAAGTAAAGACAGGAGACAGGAGTAAGACAAGGCTGCCACCTACTATCACCGATGATCTTCCTGATTCTGGTCGACTAGACTGCACTGGATCATGCAACAAAATGTGAGGAGCTGTGAGAATGTGGGCATACGCTGGCTGGACAGATGAAAAGACCCCAGGAGAAGATTTCGATTTCGCCGTCGATGATGATTTATGTCTAATGTCTTGTTGCACAAGCTCGAAGATCTACAGGCAAAAACCAACAAGTTGATAGAAGAGGCAGGGCAGCGAAGACGGAACTTCCTTCAGGTGAACGTAGAGAAGACAGAGGTGATGATCATACCCAACCGACAACAGCAAACTGACTGTTAGTATAAGTCGTGTGGAGTTTTTGACTGCCTCGTTGACGCCCTTGAGACGAGGGAATCAGTGGTCAAGGTCTCTTGGTGACATGGCTGAAAATCGATGATAATAGCCCAGATGTATTCACTTGGCATTTTCTAAATCTTCGATATTTGAGCTAGCTTATATCTTCAAGTTATTTATTCTCTCATACAACTTTATCTACTATGATATCACACTTTTTATCCACGTGTTATACTGTGAAGTGTGACGACTTCAGCCAATGCACTTGTGTTCGAGGTTCGACGTTGATTTTTTCATTCAGTCGGGAAAATGCATTCCTGACGTTTCGCGACTTCACGGAAATCATCTCTTGAGAACATGAATAAAACGTCAAAAATTCATTTTCCGGCCTCATTGAGGTTTTACAAATATATTTTAACTCTATTTGATTAAATTTTGATCTTGAAGTCTATAAAACTGTATCATCTTTTTATAGAATTGATTTCAATGAATTCTACACGGAATATGCTATCCAGCTAAGAAGAAAAGATTCAGTTGGGTTGGCCCGTAATCAGGGACCATCAATTGATGATGGTACTCTTTTTGAACATAGATCTACACCGCCGGCAAATACTACACATGACATTGAAGATTATATTTAATTCAGATTTGTATTTGCAGTTATGTTTGTTAGACGTATACTGTACATTATCACTAACAATTTATTAAATCAAAACCTTTTTATTTTTGCATGGTCTTTAATAAATATTCTATTTGATGCAGTCATCTTTCACTAAAGGGCAATGAGGTTTGAAAGTTAAGAAGTGAATTCATAATAGTTTATGTACGTTCTTCCAACAATTTTAACGCTGTGTTATATGCATTTTCATTCAGATAAAAACTACTGCACACCAGTGTCTCTTGCTTGCCAACTGAATGGCAACGTTTCGTTGATTCGTGCTACGGTCTTGATCTCTTATTACGATAGTTGGGTCGTTTTCCAGATCACAGTCAGTGATAAATTATATTAACTCTATGAAACGATGCCACACTGTTGGCAGTCAAAATTATAGTTTTACAGCTGACTAAAGCTTATCGATAACGGGAAACGAAGTACTACTCGGAAGATATTTGATACAATCAAAAAGTCGTTTTTAACTAGATGTGTGACGGTATATTAGATTTGCGATCAATACATTGATGTCTATTAACATGGCTGAATATGGAGATAGCAGAAATGAACTGCTAGTAGAAGTGTATAGAGATTCGTGATTGGTATTATGTAAAATAAATATGTTTCACAGATCGGCTTTCAAGAAATCATCTGGTATAACAATTTGTTCCCCTGGTTTGAATGGTGGGAGCCCACGGTACGGACATGAAGAACAGCGGAATGCATCTCCGAGGTAACACTAAAAAATATGTGGAAACAAAAACTCTAAAGCATGATTAGCACATAACATAAGCGATTAGTACATATACGGTACGTACATACATATAAAACTGAGTGAACGCCTTGTAGGTTGTAAGAAAGATGCTATAAATGTACGAGGAGGATAAAAGTTATTCATAACAATTGTGATCAGATGTAGAAATATAATCACATTAAAGTGAGTCCAGGATAATTTTTCCTTAATCAGTTGTGTTTTTCTGGGATTACAAAACATTTTATGCTCCAACAGATTGTCCTGTAGTCACCGAAACCAAGTCATGCAATAACCACTCTAAACGCAGAAAACAACCATAACATGTTCAAGAATTAACTCATATAAGGGGTTGATGTAACTGAAGAATACAAACTTGAGGATAAAAGTGTTAACTATTTGATAGACTCTTCCCTATGTAATGTGGTATATTAATTCTTTTAAGTAGCTCATCGAGAATTAATTCCTTTATCTTTAAGCCGAATATGGTGCTCACATCTACTTCTGAAATTTGGCAATTTTGATAGACTGTTGATGCCAACACTCGGATAATAAGTTGGGTGGATGTATCCACGAATACTGGCGCAATAATCCACTTAAAAGTTAATATGAGATGTTCTTGACTTAAAGGTAGAGATGCGGTGCATTTCTTGAAGACCCATAGTTTGTAGGGATTGCAACAAGAAAGTCTATAACAACCTTGATGTTGCGTATATGAAGTGATAAATTGGCTGTAAAATATAGGGAAGGTTTCCGAAGAATGCAGTGGTAAAAGTTTTAAAGTGTTTTTGAGAAATGTGGTTACACAGCTTGATGTCGAATACAACCTACGGATATGGTTTGCCACTATTCATAACTAAAAATACTGCTGAAATGAGCACTTTTGAGGTTAATAGGAATTTTATTTTTAAGGTAGCATTAACTTCAAAATAGGCATTTATCGATTTTTCAGTATAAAAGCACCGAAAAAACATTAATCAGAATTGCCCCAATATACATCATTCGCCTTTTTGAATCACCTAACACCGATTCTACATTTGGACGTATACAAGACTTTATAGCAGGATTCAAATGTTGGCATACTTCACTTTTGATTTCTGCGTCATGTAATTAGTCTCGAAAAGCCTCACAACGTACATGTGGCTCATGAACCGTCAAGCGAACTGTACATAGTCGCTGAGTTAAATTCTAATAGTATGATCCATAACAATTAAAAATTACAATATCATTAGCTCAACATCGAGAAATTATAAGTTATGAAACACACGAGCCGCCAAGTAGTGCTCTTAGTGTGTATTTGTGAAATGCATTTTCTACGTCATGACTTATCCAACCTTATTTCCAAGAGATCACATCGTATTAGTTCTCTCATATCCTGAAATTTTATTTTTGCTATTATTCATGACCTTTTCAACATAATAAAGAGTGCTAACTTACATTACCGCATGATGATTTAGGGACCTGAGATTTTTTATCGTCTTCCTGTGCTTCGATTTCGGCCAAGCCGCAGGTGCAGTTCTTACAAGCTCGTTTTTTTGTACCCAGCGAACCAGTCTCAACTTCCTTTCCGCAAGCAGCTAGAGGAGTTTCAAAGTCTGATTTGTGAAGGAGTGCATTTGTGTCTATGACACCTCCATTGATATCATGTGAATCCTCTTTGTCAACGTTTTCCCAAGCTGCCTCTACATCGTTGTAAGCCCATGGAAGTTTGACACTGGAACCCCGAGAATAATCAGATGGAACTGAAGCGCCGAATACCAAATTCTTCTCAGTAGATAGCTGAAATTAAAACATATGAGACCCGGTTAAAAATTAGGGAAACACCTATAAAATCTAATTTTCAAAAACTGTATCCACGTACTGCATACAAAACTTCACAACTTCTACGTAAACGGTAAAATGAAAACGATTTCTTTTTCAAAACCAGTTATCTGGCTATCATATTGTGGTTTAAACCTGTCTCACTTTCATTGCATAACTATTTATTTATTATTATTTCCCCTTTAATAAACTTCTTACCTCTGTACAATAAATTCTCTCACACGTCATGCAAATTATCAATGATTTTGTTGTACAACTTAAGATTATCGACTTCGTACTTTTAAAATATCTTATTTCCTAATAACCTTTGTCCATTTAGACTGTATGCAGCTGAAGAGTATTCGCGAAACAAAATTTTATTATTATTATTATTTGTTCCTTGGGTTCCTAATGGAACATAGGGCTTCAGTAGCACGTCTACATTGCACTCTCTTCTCTGAAGTCTTTTCAACCTGACTCCACGACTGTCCACAAGCTTTCATTTATTCCTCACATCATCTCAATGTCATCCTCAGCTGGGACGCCCAACTCGTCGTTTCCCCTTTGGATCCCACTCGAGGACTTGGCGCGTGATGTCCCCGAGTGGTCTTCTCAGTGTATGCCTGACCTAATCCATCTCCACTTTCTTCTACATACTTGTTGGGCGATGGGTCCTTGGTTGGTTCGTTGCCAGCCAGAGTGAGTTCCTTGTTGCTTATTCTCATTATTCTGGCCATCTGATCTTCAGTGTCAGTATCGAGTGAGCGTAGGCAGCAGCTGTTGATGAATGTCTGTAGTTTGTTGGAAATGCTTTTGGTGACGCGCCAAGTTTCTGAACCACCACATAGAAGCACTGACTTGAAGTTGGTGTTTAAAATCCGGACCTTGTTGTTTATGCTGAGTGCAGTGCAGTGCAGTGCAGTGCAGTAGATCTTCACACTGGTTTCAGGTTAATGAAAGTCTGTCTTGCTTTTCCAGTCCTGGTTTTGACATCCTCATCTGTGCCTGTGCCGCCTGTAGTTGAAACAATGCTGCCTAGGAAGGTAGGTGAGAGACAACTTCCTTTAGGTGATGATTGATGCTTGTTGTCGGTTGGGTATGATCATCACCTCTGTCTTCTCTACGTTCACCTGAAGGAAGTTCCGTCTTCGCTGCCCTGCCTCTTCTGTCAACTTGTTGGTTTTTGCCTGTAGATCTTCGAGCTTGTGCAACAAGACATTAGACATAAATCATCATCGACGGCGAAATCGAAATCTTCTCCTGGGGTCTTTTCATCTGTCCAGCCAGCGTATGCCCACATTCTCACAGCTCCTCACATTTTGTTGCATGATCCAGTACAGTCTAGTCGACCAGAATCAGGAAGATCATCGGTGATAGTAGGTGGCAGCCTTGTCTTACTCCTGTCTCCTGTCTTTACTTCAAAGGCGTCACTGAGCTTTCCATTGTGAATCACTTGGCATGTAGCATCATACAGCATATAGTTGCTGTTGAATGAGGTTGATAAAGGTTTGTGTCACTAAAACCGTAGTGTTTGAGCAGCTGGCTGCCACCAAATTACTTCTCGGTCGACGCTGTCGAAGGCCTTTCCAAAGTTGATGAAGTTGAGGTAGAGATCCAGTTGACTGGCATTCTATGCTCTGTCCTATAATGATGTGTTGCGTGGCGTAGCAATTCGATCCGCACATGATTTGTCTTTCCTGAAGTCAGCCAGCCAGCCAGCCGGCCGGCCAGTTCCGGTGGTAATTTTGAATCCAGAGCATTTTTTGGTCTCTCCAGGATGATGCGGCTTAATATTTTGCTTAGAGTGGACAGCAGCATGATTCCACACCAATTCTTGCAAAGACATAGGTCTGCCTTCTTTGGGAGTTTGACAAGGTAGCTCTTCTTCCAGTCGTCAGGTATCTTTCCTTCCTTCCTTCCTTCCTTTCAAACCTTCTGCAATGGTGGTTTCGTGTGAGCATGTCCACTGTTGTCTCTGTGTCTGTTTTCAGTGCTTCTGGTGGGATTCCATCTGGTCCTGCTGCTTTCCCGCATTTCAGTAGCTTTATGTTATTCAGAACTTCGACTTTCGTCGGAGGGCTTGTGTTCACTGTTAATCCTGTGGGTGGGCTGCTGGTGGTATTTCTGGACGAGTTGTAGGTGGTGGTGGTGGCCGATTGAAGAGCGTTTTGAAGTGGTCAGCTCATCGTTTCCTTTGTTTCTCCTCTTTGGTGATAATAACTAGGTTTCCTTCACTATCTGTCATTGGTTCCATCTGTGATGTGTTGATCTCTTCGCAGACAGCAAGTGACCTGGTTACTTGATACAATGTTGTTAGGTCTCTGTCTCTCCTACCTGCAGCCTGTTCTGCTTCACTTGACAATGTGTCGTAGAAGTGTCTTTTGTCTTTGCGTGCACTCTTCTTCACTTCTTTGTCCAGTGTTTTATGCATAGTACTCAGTTCCTCTTCTCGTTGTTCATACCTGCAGTGCACTGCACTGGTTCATCTTCTGCTTCACCATCCTCCTCTCCCTGCTCTATCAGCTTCCATGTGTCCGTCGAGATCCATTCCTTGTCTTGTCTCGTCTTCTTTCTTCTTCCTTCCTAACACGGTTATGCAGGTTCCTTTCCACATCTCTTTCACAGAGTTCCAGTGTTCTTCCACTCAGGTCTCTTCAGGAATGTTGGTCAATGTCTCCCATTTTGTCCTGATGACTGACTGACGTGAAGATTTTCTTTGTAGTTTTGTCCTTCAGTTGAGTTCAGTTTCTGTTCTGGGTGTTCAACTTGAAGTGTGGCCGTCTATCAGCAACTTCTGTGAAGGCTTTTAACTTGATTTGGAAGGTAGGTTCCCTGCACTAGATAGTGAGTGGTGTGAACCTACATGTGCTCCCCTTCTTCATCTGATCTTGTGTCCGGTAGGCTGCGTCTCCACTTTCTTGAGGTTGGAATGAAGTCGATGTGAGTGTTACTGTGTCCTGGTGTCTGGTGAAATCCATATCGCTTTGTGGATATCCTTGTGCTTGAACACACTGTCTCCAATCACCAAATCGTTGAATGCACAGAAGTCTGCAAACAGTTCTCCATTCTCGTTCATTTCACCGAGCGCTTCTAGACCCGTGATCAGTTCTCTTCCTGTGTTGTACGCTCCATGTTTGGCCGAACAACAAATAGACGGCTGTTTACTGATATTTTGACGAGAAACGCACTTATCGCCATTCTGTGTACACCAACGACTCCACGAGAGCTAGCCACTAGGTCTCCATATACTCCTAAAGTGAATTTTGAAGACTCACTACTATGGACGGGTGAGGTCAGTTTTACAACCACACTCGGGTCATGCATATTTATCGGAAAGACATAGCGTATATGCATGGCTTGAAATTCCAGAGTTATGGTGAGCGATGCTTGCTGTCTGGTTTGGCATAGAGTTCGGAAGTTGAGAGCGGCTTCACGAAATCGATGGCAGGGTCTTAGGAGACTAGGAATGAGGTTTTGATGGCTTTGATTGCTGGCAACGGTTGGAGAATGAGAGGTTGGGAAAGGCATAAGAGGCTTGGTGTTCGTATTGGGAGGCGGTGAAGGAGGATAGGTTATGTTTGATTGAATATTGTGTACTACTGGAGGCGACTGACACTTCCCGGCTGCCCACACCGTGAAAGGTTATTTCTTAAGGTAATTGAAAGAAAAAGGCTTTTTGTGACCACAGAGCCCGTGGGACATCTGCTTGAGGTCTCTCACACACGCCCTTTTGCGGAATGTTCTGAGTTTTTGTCGTCCTGGCGCCGTATAAAGAGAACCCACACCATCGGTCCCCAAAGACTGAGGGGCAGGTGAAGTGTTTTATTTTGGCGGCCGAGCAAGTTCGCTGTTATCTCTGCATCTGTTTTTGCTGCTTTTCGGATGCCAGAGATTTTATGGTGTTCAAGACTTCTGCTTTTATTGGAGGGCCTGTGTTCACTGTTGATCCTGTGGCTGGGCTGTTGGTGGTATTTCTGGATGAGTCGTAGGTGGTGGTGGTCGATTGAAGAGCGTTTTGAATTGGTCAGCTTACTGTGTCCTTTGTTTCTCCTCTTTGGTTTCGTTCATTATCTGTCATTGGTTTCATCTGCGTTGATCTCTTCCTATCTTGTTCTCCCTGCTTTTTCAGCTTCCATGTGTCCGTCGAGATCAATACCTTGTCTTTTTCCTTCCTAACACGGTTATGCAGGTTCCTTTCCACATCTCTTTCACAGAGTTCCAGTGTTCTTCCACTCAGGTCTCTTCAGGGATGTTGCTCAATGTCTCTCATTTTGTCCTGATGACTGACTGACGTGAAGATTTTCTTTGTAGTTTTGTCCTTCAGTTGAGTTCAGTTTCTGTTCTGGGTGTTCAACTTGAAGTGTGGCTGTCTATCAGCAACTTCTGTGAAGGCTTTCAACTTGTTTTCGAAGGTTTCTTCACTTCTCTTGAACTTCGTTATTTGTGGGTGCTTAGCGTAGCATTGTATGCTTGTGACTTTCGTTCCTTTTGAGTTGAATCTTGCTGTCATGATCCTGATCTTGCAGGAGGAGATTGGTTCCTACTGCCTGAGATAGAGCACTCGATGCTCTTGAAGGGGACATCATGATAGCCACTCAAAAACTCAGTGTGCTCGTGGTTGTCGTTTGGGTGAGAATATCGGAGTAGACTATTGACTCTCCAGTTGGCAGTTTGGAGAGTCCACTTCTATTCCACCTGCTTTCACTGATTCCAAGCACTTCTATGCAATACCTCCTCATCTCTTTTGCAATCTGAGCAGCCCTGGTAGGTTCACACATGGTGCGGACATTGTATGTCCCCATGTTTACTGTTGCTTTCATCGAGAGAAGAGAAGACACATCGGCCGACTGTCTTCCCGAAGGGTTTCACCAACCGGCGTCATTTCGTCTCCGTGATTCGAGTGAGGAATAAGTTTATTTTTATTTCGATAATTAGTTTGTGCTTTGAAGTTTGTTTAGAGATTGAATTTGTTTTACGGTGTAGGTTTGCTAGTCCTATGCCTGAGGTTCCGTGTTTATCCGGGCTTAGTACCGGCTAGTAACTAGTGAAGTAGTTAACTCGGCAAGGTTGCTGCACTTCATAGTCTAACGACTTAGGAATATGCTCAAGTGTCATAGCCACCGTAGAATAGGTCATGTAGTGATTTCAACACATCAGCAGTGCAAACGTTAGGTGTAGAGTTTTAGGGAGGAGAGGAAAGTCAGTTGTGAAGCTTCATCGACTCAAGTGGCTGGGGACATGTGTTACGTATGCCTAGTCACTGTGTGCTCCGTTGCACAATGTTAGCTGAAGGAGGTTCAGGCTAGAAGAAAGTTAAACTGACCAGATTAAAACATGGCATCAGTGTATGAAGTCTTTGAATGTTGCTCCGAGCTGTGTAGCGCAATGTGGACTTCTCGACCAGCAGGATAACAGAAACCAGTAGTTGAAGACTAAGTGAGATAGCTCAGGTCCGTATTCACCTCAATAATCATAGTGAATTTAGTATTTTCTTAGTCCTCCTTCCTCTTTCATTACTTTCTTCTACTTTCGGCCTATTCTTCTTTATCTTCCACCTTAGTGCTTTTCGCTTGGTGTGCTGCTACGAGGTGTGGCATCTTGGACTAATTCGCAGTAGTGACCAGTCCTATGTTGATGATGACCTTAATCAAATGACTTACCTTTTTTCACACTTACGCCTGACTTTTTTATTACTGACGTGTTGGTTACACAACACATGACCAATACTACCAAAGCAACAGTGGTTGAACATAAACGTTCTGATTTGTTGGAAATTTGTCTCATTTTCGTAAGCAGCTGGAAGTAAACAATTATCCAAAACACACTAGTAGATTGCTAGGTCTGAGAGAAATTTGGTGACTAGTTACAATAAAAGTTTTTTTGGTTTATACGAACCTCTTCACTAGCAATGAACATATTTCAGGACCAAATAATTAAGAATGGATTGATTGAGTTTCATTTTACGATTTAATTTCATTAATTTAAATTTAAACACTTTTCAACCTTTGGATTTAACTAGGACTATTTTTAGTTAGTTTTGTCATAATAATCCATCTTCAGGAATGCTAAAAACGTTTTACGTGTTCGCTTACTGATTCCTGATTTCATACTGTCAGAGAACCCAAAACTCAGGCTGGAAACATTTACTATTATATTAGGCTTAGTATGACTAGTGCCCAGTAAACATTTAAAAAGAAATAGAGTTATTAAAACATCCATGTAACTGCGATATTGTGACGCATTATAGAAAAAAATGACACATACACGTACTTGGTGTGGTTTGATGTATCCAGAAAGAGTTAGGTTTTTTCTTATAGAATCCCAGTTGTTAGTTATCAATCCACGACCAACAAAGCGACCACCAGGTTTCAAGCAAGATAATAGATTTGATAATAATTCAAACGTAAGTGTGTTTGCATCTACTGGATTAGGCCATCCGCACAATATAACAGAAGCACATTCATGAAGGTGATCATCTACAGCTGAGCTGCTGCTAGCGAAGTTTTCAAGATTTTCAAATTGCAATCTTTTGACGCGTGCAGAAACAGCTGTTTGCAGATTGCACATAATGTCTTCTTGAACTTCGCCTGACCACACGATTAAGACACAGTCGTCACTGTTGAAACTATCGACAACCAAGGGTTCCATGATAACACCTGAAAGTGGTTATAGTCAAAAAGTTTCTCATATCAGCACAACATATTTTTGATTTCGCATACGTGTACATAAAATAATAAATGGACAGTCACCAAGATATCGGATACTTTATGTTGACAGAATTATATGGAAAGTGAATTCTTAGTAGTAAAACAACAGAACCATCCCAAACAACTGAGACCTGGGAAACCTCATAAAACTAAAAGCAGAACCCATAAGAAACTCAAATTGTATACTTTGTATCCACTTTTAGAAGCAGAAAACATGAGTTTCATGAATCCTCTTTAAGAAATTTCTAATAAAACCGAAAGCGTTGGTTCACTTGTCTAAATCTCAATTTTGAATGACTTGGAAAAGGAAAAACTCAAAGTGATTTCCGACCACTAGAAAAGTATGACAAAAATACTGCTCAAGAATCCACATAAAATATGGAAGGAATTTGATTCATAGGTCACTTAAATAAAACGATTACGCTGAGTTTACATTCTCAAAGTTTTTCTTCGATGCATGCATCTGTTCAGGCTGGACTTCCTAACTCATTATTACAATCTACCATGTGGACAATAGCTTCAAATCTTAGATATGTGAACAACCATACCCTATGCAGCCAATAATTTTAAGATATTCTATCTTCCTCACTGTAAAAGTATGCTCATATTTGTTATATCTACCACACATTCCGGTGGAATTAGTCCTCTAACAACTCAGTGTTCTGTGCGCAGACGTTTTTGAATTCAGTCTAAAAGATTTTACTTCTATAAATGCTCATGTAGAGACTATCAAATTCACGACCGGGAAGCAAGAAAAGTTAAGACATTGATTAGTGTTTATTGGTCTTTCTGTAAAAAAGGTGAATACTAAAAACAATAAGGTTACTAGATAGCGCATAACGTAAGGTACGATTGCTTAAAAATATAGCATTTCCATTGCACCCTTCCCTGTTCAATTCTAAGAGGCATCGTTCATTTAGAATACTGCTCATGACAGCCGTAGCGACTTACTTATTCCTTAAAAATGTGCTTAATCAACAATCTTGTAGCAGTTTCATTGCATTCAATTCCATCATAGAGTTTTTAATTGGTAAAAAGCCTTTTCTTTGGTAATATAATCAGAAAAGCATAATGAAACCAGGAAGTTAGGTCCAACCTCACTTTGAACTGAAACTTACGAAAACCGAACGCATTTCACAATATCAAAATGACTTTTGTCAACTTTTTGATTCAACGCCAGTACATTCAAGTAGTTATTGCTGATGACTTAAACTCATCGCTTACACAACAGTCAATAAGCAATGTAGTAGATATGAGAGACTGGCAATATTAATGACGTGAAATTAATAAAGATGTGTAGTACTATTTTAAGTTATGTATAAAGAACCCTAAAAACGAAATCTTATTTAACAAGCATCAATCTAAAAGAAGAATATTTTTTTGAATAAACTCTCTTCAGGTTCTACAGTGATAAAATACATTTGTACAGCGGGAAATAAAGCCATGTTAGGGGCAGATACATTTTCATAATGGAGTGAGGACTAGGGATTGTAGGGAAATCGACTTTTCTTTTTAAATCTTTCAATTTTGGGATAATATATATACAGACGAATGATATGACAGTGAACAAAAAATAACGAATAAAAAGAGAGAAGTGGCCTTTAGTTTACTGAAGGCCAAAGGAGAAGTAACACGGATATATTCTTTCTGAATGCACAGTTCAGAGTTGGTCAGTCTTATTGCAACAACATCTGTTATGTTGAGCAGGTGGGAAGCTATATGTGGAATCGTTTTTTGGAATATGATGTATGATATTGAAAGCTTTATTAGCATCTGTGATAACCTTTGTTTACTATGTGAGCAAGGACTGAACTTTTCACCACTTTACTTTATCCTTTCCGAACCAAGCCAGGAAATGATTTCGTATCCGTGTCCTCTCTATTGGATAAACACTAAAAGGTTTGCAAAACTGAATTGCGATCGCAAACCTTTTCCGGGAGTTTCTTCGAAGTTGTCACTGATAGAGACCAGTAAACATGAGGTTAAATATACTTTTTCACAACAGCCTTCAAACAAATGGACCACCTACTAATACTGGAAAAATCTTTAATTTCATAGGTTAACATTGTTATCTAGGAATTCACGTGTCACGACGGGGACAGACACAGTCACGATTGCAGTATGCGACTTTTGTGTTCAATATCCAAGAAAACAACAAGATATAGTTTGCATTAAATGTATTCGTGGAATGCATTCTGAACAACCGGATCGCACACGCAGTTGCCATGAACATTCATAGGAAAGACAGCAAAGGATAAATGAGTTGAAAAAATTAAGCGTAAAATTGTTAGTTTAAAGGTTGCATCACGGATGGAAATTGAAAAGTATGTAAATCACACCTGATATTAAAGTTAAGTTAACAAGTGTTACGGAAATGAGTTGTTTTTGAATGAAAAAGAGATGCAAATTCCCTTTTGGCTTGTGTTAAAAACCTAACTATACCATCCAAAAGGTTTTGTGGATAGGTTTGGAAGATGCATACAACTAAGTATAGATACTCGTTCCAATGATTTGTTCAACTGTGATAATTGTCTGTTCTCTGAGCTGTTCGTTTTTGAACATTTATCAGCAAGCTAAGTGTATTCATCAGCACTAACTTAATAAAGAAGAAAAAGTTTGACATGATCTCTGGGTTAGTAAGGTCATTCAGTAAACTCTGACCTATTAACTTTGGCATAAGCAGTCGGGTAGTAACATATATTCTTAAACAATAAGTGTGGCTCACAGTCTACATAATAAACTTGTAACTGGTTGAATTGTATGATAGTAACAATCAGTCAAAGGGAAAATGACGAAATTTGCAGAATAAAACTATCTCATTTTATTTCACGGACATGCTCACACCATTATTGCAGAAGGTTTGAAAGGAAGGAAGGAAGGAAAGATACCTGACGACTGGAAGAAGAGCTACCTTGTCAAACTCCTAAAGAAGGCAGACCTATGTCTTTGCAAGAATTGGTGTGGAATCATGCTGCTGTCCACTCTAAGCAAAATATTAAGCCGCATCATCCTGGAGAGACCAAAAAATGCTCTGGATTCAAAATTACCACCGGAACTGGCCGGCCGGCTGGCTGACTTCAGGAAAGACAAATCATGTGCGGATCGAATTGCTACGCCACGCAACACATCATTATAGGACAGAGCATAGAATGCCAGTCAACTGGATCTCTACCTCAACTTCATCAACTTTGGAAAGGCCTTCGACAGCGTCGACCGAGAAGTAATTTGGTGGCAGCCAGCTGCTCAAACACTACGGTTTTAGTGACACAAACCTTTATCAACCTCATTCAACAGCAACTATATGCTGTATGATGCTACATGCCAAGTGATTCACAATGGAAAGCTCAGTGACGCCTTTGAAGTAAAGACAGGAGACAGGAGTAAGACAAGGCTGCCACCTACTATCACCGATGATCTTCCTGATTCTGGTCGACTAGACTGTACTGGATCATGCAACAAAATGTGAGGAGCTGTGAGAATGTGGGCATACGCTGGCTGGACAGATGAAAAGACCCCAGGAGAAGATTTCGATTTCGCCGCCGATGATGATTTATGTCTAATGTCTTGTTGCACAAGCTCGAAGATCTACAGGCAAAAACCAACAAGTTGACAGAAGAGGCAGGGCAGCGAAGACGGAACTTCCTTCAGGTGAACGTAGAGAAGACAGAGGTGATGATCATACCCAACCGACAACAAGCATCAATCATCACCTAAAGGAAGTTGTCTCTCACCTACCTTCCTAGGCAGCATTGTTTCAACTACAGGCGGCACAGGCACAGATGAGGATGTCAAAACCAGGACTGGAAAAGCAAGACAGACTTTCATTAACCTGAAACCAGTGTGAAGATCTACTGCACTGCACTGCACTGCACTGCACTCAGCATAAACAACAAGGTCCGGATTTTAAACACCAACTTCAAGTCAGTGCTTCTATGTGGTGGTTCAGAAACTTGGCGCGTCACCAAAAGCATTTCCAACAAACTACAGACATTCATCAACAGCTGCTGCCTACGCTCACTCGATACTGACACTGAAGATCAGATGGCCAGAATAATGAGAATAAGCAACAAGGAACTCACTCTGGCTGGCAACGAACCAACCAAGGACCCATCGCCCAACAAGTATGTAGAAGAAAGTGGAGATGGATTAGGTCAGGCATACACTGAGAAGACCACTCGGGGACATCACGCGCCAAGTCCTCGAGTGGGATCCAAAGGGGAAACGACGAGTTGGGCGTCCCAGCTGAGGATGACATTGAGATGATGTGAGGAATAAATGAAAGCTTGTGGACAGTCGTGGAGTCAGGTTGAAAAGACTTCAGAGAAGAGAGTGCAATGTAGACGTGCTACTGAAGCCCTATGTTCCATTAGGAACCCAAGGAACAAATAATAATAATAATAAAATTTTGTTTCGCGAATACTCTTCAGCTGCATACAGTCTAAATGGACAAAGGTTATTAGGAAATAAGATATTTTAAAAGTACGAAGTCGATAATCTTAAGTTGTACAACAAAATCATTGATAATTTGCATGACGTGTGAGAGAATTTATTGTACAGAGGTAAGAAGTTTATTAAAGGGGAAATAATAATAAATAAATAGTTATGCAATGAAAATGAAACAGGTTTAAACCACAGTCACAAAGGGAGTGAGAGATTAGGCGCACTCTCCTTCGGTATGCGAAAGTCAGGTTGAAAACGTTTGATTGCAATCGCTTTGGAGAAAAGCAGCAATCCAGATATTTTTTGTTAGTTTATTTTAAAAGCATTCAGCCTTTCAACCTGATGTCCTGTGTTTACGAGATATCTGGCAGCTGTACTGGTTAGAATTTTACTTCCCTCTAAGCACAGATTCTTGGAGATATGCTCAGAGAATTGAATCAGTCAGCCAACGTCATAACAAATATGTACGTGACGGATTAATTTATTCCACAATGCAGACAAACAGACACACAAAATCAACGTATAACATCGTGCCTAATTGCACTGGTTAAAGCTGTCATATTTGACAGTAGCTTGCAAACGACAAATGAATAAAAACAGACCAATATCGAAGTAAACAAAGGTGTATGGGAGGAGGAATTTGAAGATGAAAGGCTAGTGAAAATATCCGAGTTCTAGAAGACGTTAGAGGATGTGAATACACATGCACCATTGTGACCGATTTTAGCCACGTCACCAAAAATCTTAGTTGGAACGCTTTTTTCTTAGGCCGCCGCTACACCACGAGGATCAGTTAGGGACGATGAGTCGAGTTCACAATTTCTCAAGTAAAATACTGCAGTTAAGGTAAAATTCGTGGTGGTGGGTTTATGAGCTAAAAAAAGTAGTAAGGTGGTTCCTGAGGACAACCAGAATTTTTATGCTACCCCATTTTCTACTGGAAGAAATCAGGAGAGGTTGGTTCTAAAAATAGCACACCACTCTGTTGCCTAAGAAAGTTCTCCTGCAATTGGTATTAGTTTCCACAGTACGGATTTAAAGCTATGAAACGTCGACAATCCAAGCAGTCAAGCGAACTCCGAAGTCATGTACTTTGGTCGGTGGTTTATCTTGAGAAATAGTCTTCCAAAGTGTCGATAGTCGCAAAGTCCTAAATGCCACGACACACCAGTTCATACTCAGGTCTCTTTTGATAGTAACCAAGCACTTTTTCGTTATTTTTCAAGTTTTCACTGATAACTATGTATCGTTATCAACTTTCCTCAGCTCAACAATCGATGAAAACCAATTGATTTTAAGGAAGAAGGGAGCTGCAACTTATTAGTTTAGACATTCAAAATTCGACAGCTGGGTTACATATTCTATTCCCACTCCACGTACTATGGTTCAGGTAACTAGATAGCATCACTAACCCTCACATTAGATGCGGTTTGTTACGTAATGATGCAGTGGTTGACAATGCTTATTAATTATTACTACACCTAGACTAATAAAAGGCTTTAAACTATAAGTTGAAGCTTGTGATACCGGCTCTTCTTGCTAGACCGGACAACAAACTTCAAAAAAGAGCTATTGTATCATCAGTTATAGAGTCAAGCTGCTTCACAGAGACAGGAACAACGTGCAATCATTCGCTCGACAACATAGTCAGAGTGATGAGTCTGTGCAACATACGTTTTTACAGGGTTTCGACACAGATACCTTCGTAGCATTTGTCGAGTTTGGTGGAATCCCTATGTGAGGAATGTTGAGGTCAGGCGAAGGGTGCGACGTAAGATACGCAAGTTGGTTGATGAGGCTAGGAACCTTTATTAGCTGAGATGGCTTAGATATATTCTCCACATGCCGAGCCACAGCCTACCTCGACGTGCCACGCTAGGCGAAGTTGGATTAGACTGAAAGAAGGTTCAGGGTGGCCAGACCAGGATGTGCAAGCAGTCGGTGAAGTTTCTGACTGTTGGCGTGAGTCATATGGGGAGATGTAGACTACCTAATTGAGGCCACCGAGATGAAACGAATGTGGTTGAGGACTCTTGGTGACATGGCTGCAAATCGGTCACAATGGCGCAGATGTATTCAGTTCATGATATCTTCTAAAGCTTGAATGTTTGCACTAACCGTTATCTTCAGATTGTTTGTTCACTTACACAAATTTTTCCACTTCGATATCACTTGTTATCTATCCATCTCATCTTTGTGTGCTACTGTGAAGTGTGACGACTTGAGCTGATCCACCTGTGTGCGGCGTTCTGTGTTGATTTTGTCAGTCAGCAAAATACGTTTCGACTGCCTGGATTCTCAACAGCAAGCTTTTGCTGCTTATGTTGTGTAAGTAGAGCACTAAACCCTAAGTCAAGAAGCATACTTGACTGGATTAAAGTGGACAATCAAACCTTTGCTGTTTGATTGAATGGTGCCGAAAAAACTACGAAAATAGTGAAACAAACTTATGTCTTTTTGCAGTTTCCACTTAAACGTTTACGCATTATAAGTCGGAAGGCGAAAAGGATGATTCTCAAAAACCTATCTAGTCTACTACTAGACATCAAAAATATAAGTGCAGTGTTTTTGAGATATGAATACAAGGCCCGAGTCCGGTTATTTACTCAGCTTTACTGGACCAGTATGGCTAACCTGTGAAACACACTTCCAGTTTCTAGAGATTCGATGTCTTGCTCTCATAGTCATATTTATCTAACGGCACCGATGATTATTTTTTTTATTACGAACCCATCGAAATAGTTTCTCCAGTTTATTTTCATAACTCGTATTTTTTATTCGTTAGTGTAGCTGTCTATCATTATTCCCCTTCGCTCAAATGCGCGATTAATATCTGTTTAGCCACATTTGGGGACTTTCTGCTGTTTTCAGAAGACAGTAAACCTCAAATATTAGCTTTAACGCAATTACTTACTACTCTTCAACATGTATCACAAAGAACTACGCAGTATACCATGTAGTTTATTTACACGTGGAGGAATTTTGTCTCGAAAAACCACACACGTAGCACAAAACAGTATAACGTTTTTCGAGAGACTTAGTTATAAAACTGTATCCAACTGAAACTGAAGTCACGAGTTCAAATCATCCATATGTAAATGAATTAATCGAACTCAGCGTCGAACAATACGATAAAACGATACTGGGAAGACTGATTGCCTCAATGAGGAATCAAGCAACTTAATTCTATATATATGTATACATATATACATATGTATATATAAAAATTGTACCGAAGTAATAAGAATTGCAAGGATTTACCAAAAACACGCGAACACAACAAATACCGACCCAAAATGTTTACCTCCAAGGCCATTATCTGATTAATTCAAACTATTTTACCATCATGAAACACTAAATAACAACCCATGTAAGCATAATAATTTCAAAGCTTTGTGACGGATGTGGTTGCCAGAATGAGTTATATTAGTGATATAGGTGATATTATTCATAATATGCCTGAAGTTATACTAAATTTCAATATACATAATATCTGTTTAACGAGCTTGTAAAAACAAACTGATTTCCTAACGCTTGCATCTAGGTTTGGAGGAACGATTCTTCGTCACTGGTGGGTCCAGCCATTCATCTGACGTAGCTTTAGTAAACCCTGTGGATGGTTCAAATGGTTGTTGGCGGAATAGGCGAGGCTTTTGCTTAACTGGCTTCCGCGTCTAAAATCCGTGGATCACTACTCCCTGTGGTTGTTAACCTGTGTACAAGGAAAGAGAGGGGAAAAAGTGGCGGTTAAAACGCGAAGAATCAATTAGTCCACGGGCAGACCCCAGCCACATGTCAAGTAGGTATCCAGTCGGCGTTAAAGGGTTCGAAAGAAGTAGCCCAGGCCACATCTTCAGGAAGAGCATTCCAGGGTTTAACAACTCTTAGGGAACATAAGTTGTCCTCGATATCTAACCTACTATGTTCCAGGCCTAGTTTTTGTATGTTTCCTCCAAGGTTAGTGCTACAGCCTAGATTTGAGAAGTGACGAATCGGGTGGCCAGGCATGTTCAGAATGTTGTGAGTCATTATCAAGTCTCCTCTTAGCCTTCCGGTTTCCATAGGATACAGATCCAGAGCAACCAGTTGGTCTTCGTATGTTTTGGGACTGAGTCCCAGAACAGATTTTGTCGAGCTCCTCTGGATGCGTTCCAAGCTTAGTTTGTCCTTCTGAAGAGAAGGCGTAAAGACGATGGTCCCGAACTCCAGATGAGGCCATATGAAGCTGTTGAAAATTTGATAGAAGCATCTACGATAGAATTGTCCAAAAATTCCTCCAAGAGTTGCTAACGCCAAGTTTCCATGAGACGGTAGAGGATTTTAAGTCATGAGGGAACAAGACGCCCAAACCCTTCTCTGTCAATGACGCTTCAAGCTCCATGCCGTTGAGACCATATACATGAGATGCATCGTGTTTTGCGTGTATCACTTGGCATTTCTCAGGATTAAATGCCAGCCCGTTGTCGGCTGCCAAGTTGCGAAGTTGATTTAAGTCTTCCCATGGAGAAACATTGCCTTCCTCACTTTTGATTTCTCTCCAGAGTTTCACATTGTCGACAAAAAGAAGGATTTCGGAGGAAATCTGTTGGGCCAAGTAGTTTTTGCGTATCAGAAAAAGGAGAGGCCCATGTACCGAACCTTGGGGAACATTACTAGGACATTCTGTTTCTTCAGATATAACGGAACTCACTGGAACTCTGAATGAATGGCCTTGTATATATGAAGACAACCAGCCAGTGAGCGAAGGTCGAATCCCGATCAATTTCAATTTATCAGTAAGGTGGTAGTGATTCACACGATCAAACGCTTTGGTAAAGTCTAGGCAGACAGCATCAGTTCGTCCTCGATAGTCAACAATGTTAGTCCACTTGCCTATCTACTGCAGTGAGCAAATTGGTAACGCAGATGTGTCCTTTTCAAAACCCATGTTATTGAGGCGCAAAGAAGTTGGCCCTTGTGAGGTAATCCCTCAATCAATCATATATCAACGGTTCCATTATTTTGAAAGAAATGGATGGAAGTGTCAACCGCTCGCATTTTTTTTGTATTGCTTCGGTGACCCCCTTTGACGATTGGCTTTGTGTGACCCAGCCTCGAAGAGTCAGGTGCTATCCCCTGGCTCAAAGAATTCTTAAATAAATGCTTAAAGGTTCGGACAAGATTGAAACTCCCTCCCGCAGTACCACCGGTTGGATTTTATTTGGTCCCAGAGAGGTGTCTTTGGTGAGCCGTAGCAGTTCCGCTGTACTAGCTGAAAGCTTAGGTCGACGGATGAGAGTCCTACATTGTTAGTGGGATATTCGTAAGCTCCTGAGTAGATGAACGATGACGAAAATATTCTCAGGTACTGGTCGGCCAAGAGCTCTGCAGCTCCAGTATCGCTATTAGTCAGTCCCTACGCACCTAGCAGTTGAGGGGCTCCCTCTTTTGCCTGCCAGAATGAAGCAGCGTAGTGGTGGAGGCCTCTCGGGCTAGAAACAAATATGCTTGTAAGCGGCTGCTGATCGGCTCTCAGCGTCTTTATACATACGTTTCTTATCTGTTTGAATTGTCCGTAAGCATATTTGCGCCAATCCTTTTGTGTTCGGCCTAGTGGTGTCTCTTTAACCAAAGTAGTTCACGAGTGTTCCTTATTTCCTTAGGTAAATTAAAGCCCTCGGTTTCGAAAGTAGAACAGACTGACTGATGGCATGCACGATCTTGTCAAGTATGAATCTCCAATGGGCGTTCACATCCTGCCACGCTTGGCTGATTCCTCAATCTGTCTGTTGCAGTGCGATTGGAAGGGCTGAAGTATTACCTCGTCCGAAATTCCAACGGTGTTCACCAAAAGGTCCGGTTGGATTGGTTTTGCAGACAAACTGGAATCCGATAACAGCGTGGTGTCCCCTGCGCAGAGGAGGAAGGATTGCTAAGTTATCAAACTGGAATTCGTTCGGGAAGACGCAGTCTAAGGGAGATGGGGTTTGATTATCTGTCGCTGACGTTACCATTCCCACATTTTCTGTAATCCCTAGCTCCCCAATCGGGTGTAAGAGTCTGGCTTCAGTGGAATTGTCACTCCTGCTAAATGTGTGATCTGCGAGGTTAACCTTCGGTAGGCCAAAGTCGCCTAAAATTAGTATGTGTGGGTGCCCCAATTTAAGAGAGTAGGCGACTGCCCCTAGCATCCAGTCATCATGCTGCAGGTCAGCAGATGGCTTCCTATAAATGGTCCCCACCAAGCGCTTCGTAGTCTTCGACAGCTTTATGGTTCACCAAGCTAACTCTTCGAGGCATTCCAGTTCCTGGATATGAATTTGGTAATTTGAGAGAAAGGAGCTGACGTAAAGTGCTACCCCACCCCTACCAGCATCCCTGTTGTTGTGAAACGGCATGGTGTCGACAATCGTCAGCCCCTGATTTGGCACGTCAGGAGGAATCCGTGTTTCAGTAACACCGATAAGGTGAGTATAAGTGTCCTCACTTTGTTCCCCTAGCTCGTCTAGTGTGTTAGGTTAACTTTGTGCATTTTCATAGATGCAATTTACGCTATCGACTTGGAATCCAATGCCTGCACCCACTCTATTTTCCAGGTGGCTGGCTGAACCCTCGGGCATGGGGGCTGGGAATGTGCCTAGGTGCTGCCTACCAGTTTAGTGTTCCCCCCTTCCTCATTTTTCTCATATAAGCAGTCCTCAAGAGGTTTAACTGGTTCCAATTTTTTTCTGATTTCGTTGCAGCCTTTCGTTCTACAACCTATCAGGCTGCACGCGGACCTCAGAAAACAAACAAATGCTGTTCTCCCAGAAAGCGTCCAGTGTGGATGCTACCGCTTTACAGGCCGGAGAGACCACTTTGATCAGCCTTAATCTAAGGCCATCGTCTGTTTTAGGCATCCGTAAGACCCTTTGAGTGTTTGCTTTCTTTAGGTTCACAGTATTCTAGGGGAACTTCCATTCACGAGAATCGTGGTAAATATCCCTGGTGCCTGGGTTTTCTGGTGTGCCTTGAACTATTAGGTTTCTTCCTCTAAAGTAGGCGTCGCGATTGTCGCCTAAGAGATTCCTTACTGCCGCTCTCTCCGAGTGTGGGACATCTGGCAGTATCCTTACTTTCCGTCCAGCTTTTACCAGTTGAGATGCTAAGAGTACATCCTCGACACCATCTTTATTGGAGAATATGAGCCTTAAGAGACGGTGCTTGCCCTAGTTGTTGAATTGGGACCGCGAGAGAGCCTAGTTGCAGCTGCTGGTTTCATGTGGTCTAGCTTGAGTGCTCTTCATATGCCGTCCAACAGAACGTGTTGGTTAGTTTTGTTAATTAGCCTGATGTGTCTAGTTGTGATATTATATCGCCGACCTAGGTAGTTCGTTGAAGGTTACTTAGTGAGGTGAACAGAGTTGTACTTATAAGATTTAATGGAAACTTCGCAGGTCATCCAAGCCTTTTGAGACATTACGTGACATTCGAAAATTGAACTACTTAACGGTTTCACAGACAACTGAGTTGTCAACACAGCCGTGGGCATAACAGCTCGTAGAACCTGGCTGTTGGAACCTGTCTGATCGACCACTGTCAGTATATGAGCTTTTAGGCAGTTCCATCTCCTAGTCTCAGTGGTTAAATCACTCACTGAAAGGCAATTTGTCTGGCCGACAAGTCCAAGGTAAAATGAAACATACGTCAGGTTTCACTGCTAGCCAGTGCTCACCATTACTGCCGATAACTGCTGCTTGAAGGTTTCCCTATGCGAACTGTGGACTGGCTGATTCCAGGGTACCATGGGGTTGCTGGTAAAATTGCTGAAATATTTTCAGTTCCTGGATGTATTGTTGGCTGAAAGTGTTGAAGTGTCAGGTGGGGAATTTCGCGAACGGTTAGGTGTTTTCCCGAGCGAGTAGGTGAAAAGGAAAGATTAAACTGACCTATGGAGAAAAGTTGCGATGCCAGTCATTATTTGAACGGAGTATTGTAATTCGTGCAGATGCTATAGAGGGGCTTTCAGGGTGGTTCAATCACTCCCCATAACATTACTGCAGATAAATTCTACGTAAGCAATGTACTTCTTAAAGAGAAGCACAAATCCGAAACAGTTTCCACACAAAACAGGATGCATATATTCGCCACGTGCCGTTGCAGAGTAGTCGGAGACTTTCCTTGTAAGTGCATATGCCTTGTTTTCTGTGACGTGACACTTAGCAGAAACCAAATTCGTATTCTTGATAGCAGCCCCAGAAACCTCCACAATGTTTTCGTTGAAAATGGATATTCCAGCCAGGAAGCAGAATCAAACTTCCTCTTGCTTAGTATCATTATTTTACGCTTTTCTACAGCTTTTTTAGGGCAACATATGTACAACAGTGACTTGAAACTCAGTAAAACAGGCAAGTAATTTACGCAACCAACAAACCGAAGAGAGCAAAAAGCAAAACTTGGAGCCACCTCGCTAAGCGCTGGAAATCAAGTAGACAAATAAGTGTAACTCTGACTAGATGATCTTTTAAATAACCCTAAGCTGACTTATTAGCTCCACCCGAATGTCCGTATACTCAGGCTTTCTAGGCTGCCTATGTCGGGACGAAGGTTGCGGGAGGTCTTCCCAATTGCCTGACGCTTTGAAAGGCAAAACAGCCCGAAAAATTGAAAATACCACTAGTCTTCCAGCCTATTTTGACATATGGGCCACATTACCGATAGATATACGATACCATGAGAACAGTGTGACACGGACCGTTGTTTGTTGGGATGTAATGGGTGTCAGTTTTACGTTTGGTGGCAGTGTTGTGCGTTAATTAGGATGCTATCTGATGTCACCAACAAAATTTCGTTTGCTACCAAGCACTGGAAAGTCACTGCTTCTCAGTGCACCGTAGTTTTCTGCATGGAAATTCGCCAAAGACCTGGAACTGTTCCGCAAGGCCTAGAAGTAACGACAAAGAAATAGGATAATTTACGCAAGCCTGTGGAAGACATTTTAAACTGGATTGGGTACTGGGAGCCTTATTTTTGATTCCTAAATATTGTTGTTCCCACTCACAAAATGAGTTTCAGTTTTGCTGCCTTGTACATCGTGGATGTCGAGCGAATGATGAAAACTTGCCGGAACTCCGTTTTTCGGTGAAAAAGTCCGAGGAAGTTGTAACCATCAACACTTGAGGGCCAAGTGAGACTGTAATTGCGATGCAGCTTTAGCTCCCGAAGAACTGTCATTGACTGTAATTGAGATATAAAAGAGCTTCTAGCAATAATGTATCTGACTTCCGTTTTGTTTGGATACAACGCAAGGATGCCGAGCTCATGTCTCATATGAGTAATACGCTGAAGGCAGAAGGCCTTTTTTCCTCGAGGCAACCAACGTTTGGATATAACCTTACTGCTGGATATTTATACCCCTGCATGCATGTGTAACTAACGTTCGTTCCACAAAAACCAATCCATCGATAACTTGCCAGTTCTTCTTGAAGTGTCAACGTGCCTTATATGTGAACTAGGGCCGGCGAGGATGGTAATTAATCAACTGTGTGTCTATGTTCAGGCTTCGAGTGTCGGTACAGGCCTAGAGAAATTGCAACAAATGTTCACTCGACATGTGGGTACGCTGGGGAACATGTTATGTAGCGTAAGGGCAGAAGTTGTGCACCCATAGCAGACGCCAGTCGCCGACGCTCGGTAAGGAGCTTCTCGAGGCGATTGTTGACTTCACTTATCAATGTGCTCGTCGGATTTTGTCCCTCGAACTTCAGAAGTGACTTTATGGTTACTTGATTTAGTAAACATACCTGTTGTGCTAGGATTAGTGATACTGCCCCGGTCGATAGACTGCATCAAGTACACAATGCATAGGTCGGTAATTAAATCCCCAGACTCACTGGTCACGGTGTAGTAGCGTAAATGCTCACTTTCCTACCTCTACTGCTTTGAACCGTTCTACTTTCCGCTTCAATAAACGAGTGGGGAATGAAACTACATATTCGTATGAAGTCAGTATGTCTTGACAAGCTTTTGAGGCTACTAGAGCTCCTCCCGGTGGACGATGCCTTTTATAAACCTTCGAGTATGCTTCCATCTACCCCGCCGAGTTTTCCTGGGAAAAGAGCTTCATTTCACACATCATCCACGAAGCGGTCACTCGCATTTCCCCTGTGTCTGCAGTCGTTGGACTACGTTCAGTAGGTGTGTGGTTGCATCAGCTTGTTTGCGTCTGGCTTCATCTGCAAAGAATTCACTCAGCATGTGTGAAGACTTTAAAAAATTTTAGGTTGAAATCTGCTTACATGAAGCCAACAGGGATGTGGATTAAGCACGACTGAGCTGGTTCGAAACGAACATTTATCGCCACGTTTGTCGACGTTGTAGTGTATTTAACCCTTTGAAAAACTTCTGACGCCCTTGCAGATTCCATGATACTGGTGTATCACAATACGTTTTCCAAATGCTTTGTAATTTTTTGGACAGAGCAACAAACCAGAGATGAATTCTCCCTTCCCTGAAATACGGATATCGCAGGCGTCATTGTGCACATGCATTTCCCAGCACACACCGTGATTTCCTTCGTTCACCTTCTTGCGGTCCAATTACATGGAGGCTTTGCAAATTCTGGGAATGCTTGTTATGACACCACTTACTTTGATCTTTCCTGTTTGCTACTTTGTGTCTTCCTTCACCGACCGAAGTAACAAGAAATGGCAGCATACTGGTACTTAGGTGCCGAGTCCAAGTTATCTTTTACACATCTGTTTATGCGACAATCACAAACATTATACAGACTGTTAGTTCGCTTTGGTCCTAGATGATGAGTTCACTATTTACACAATTCGAATCTTAAAATTGCCCAATCCACGCTTCACATTTGCGCCAATCTAATAAACTTTGGTGCCTTACGGTTTGACTGATTTCCAACATCAGGTCCACCAACAGAACATCTGACCCACAGGGCATTTTAGCGCCGCTTTTCCAAAGCCGAATGCTACATAAATACGTCTGCACAAGGCTAGAAAAAAGTCAGGTGGTCAACAAGATTAGAGAGTAGCAGTATCGCACTGACCAATCGGAGCGACCAAAGTTAACGATTCACCCTACTCTCTTGAAGTCACAATCGTGACCCACGACACAGCTTCACTCCGGACATGGGAGCAGTGCAATCAGAAGCAGTCTACTAAATTGTAACGACACTATCCGATAACTTTTAACGGATGCAAGACTTTTGTATTGCGACACTGTGATCGATTGTAGAAGCAGATGTTAAGTTTCAGATGCAAGGGTCGTCTTCTGGTGTGGTTCCGGTCGGCTCATTCGGAATTTTTGGGTTCTTTTCACCGAGTTGTACTTGGTAGAAGCTGGTATCATCAAGTTTGTGCTTTTGCGGCGAATTATTGGAATCCTGTCTGGGCTGGTGTACTGGACTTAACACAAAGTGGGGCGGTATAGTTTGCTGGGTCACGTTTTCAACGTAACTGATTGTCTATTGTCATGTCAAGATGGCCACACATATTTGAGACACCCCTTACATGATCCGCCTCCTCTCGCCTCCTTTGTGAATTAGGCAGTAGGATTCTCCATATATCTGGAACAGATGCCGGGTCATTCCTGTCACACGTATTAGGTGGGGGTTCAATAAGCAAAGATTCGGCCATCGGTCTCGATCTTGATCTCATTCGTCAATGCTTGGACGCACTAAAGGAAGGAGTCGGGTGGAAGCGAATCTAGAGGTCAAGAACGGCTTTAACCCCCATAGTATTACTGATGTGTGTCTGGAAATGTTTCCGATGAGATCGATCTCATTAATCTCGGGGAAACTTCTGGTGCTCATGGTGGTTCGGCAATCGGACTTCCCAAATTCCAGTTGCCAGAATTCGGCGGTAACCCGCCTGACTATTGTAGTCTTACGAAAAAGATAGACTTATTGTTGAGGGACGATGAACCGACCGATGAGGTCAGACCAAC